TTTATTGCTATGAAACCGGTCAAGATATGCAAATGAAATTTTGTGGATTTTAATAGGTAGTTATTCCGCATTTTTTGACATGCAATTAAGAATTTTATGTTCATCATTGGCGTGCATACGGGTAATGATCTCAATTCATTTAAAGAAAAACATGGTACGCCACTGATATATTTCAAATTAAAAATCATTTTTAAATTCCTCATTAAATTTGTCACAAAAAATATCTCTGGCCTTTTTTTCGTGTGGGGCGCCGTTTTTATGCAAAAAAATTAAATATCTTAACGCATATTTTTCATTTTTGTAATACATTATTATCTAATAGCGACGCTAGTACTAGTAGGCTATTGTCAACATTCTGTTAAATATGAATAGTTTAACGAAATGTCAAATTAGCGTTTCTTCATTATTAAGCTTTTAGTTTGGTATAACACTGATGTTAATAAGTAATTTACTTTTCTTTTATCGAAAACAATGGAAAATTATACAAACGTGGAATTGTCAGACATGCATTTTGTCTATGGTCGAAGTAATGGAAATGGTCGGCAAGCTCGACGATTGTATGCCGAGTTGTATCCAGGACGTAGGGTACCCCATCACACAATATTTGCTCGCCTTCGCCAACGTTTGCGCGAAAATGGTACATTTAAGAAACAAACGGCTGACTGCGGGCGCCCTCGAGAAGTACGAACTGTGCAACTAGAAGAAGTAGTTCTCGAGTTAATTGCGGAGTCACCGGAAACAAGTACTCGAAAAATTGCCAACATATTAAATGTAAGCAACTTCACTGTATTTAGAATTCTTAAAGAACAGCAGTTGTATCCGTTTCATATTCAACGTGTGCAAGCTCTACTACCTAAAGACTTTCTTCCGCGCCTATTTTTTTGCCAATGGATTCTTCATCAAATCGCTCAAATTCCTAATTTTTTAAATAGTTTTGTTTACTGACGAAGCTAATTTTGGTCGAGAGTCTATACGAAATTTCCATAACAATCACTTATGGGCTGAGGAAAATCCACATGGAATCTTTGAAGCTCATTTTCAGCATCAGTTTTCGGTAAATGTATGGATTGGGGTAATTGATGATCATTTAATCGGTCCATATTTCCTCCCACAACGACTAACAGGCGACTCTTACCTTAATTTCCTACAGGAAGAGTTAACTGTTCTTCTTGAAGAAATTCCTCTACAGCTGAGACAACACTTATGGTTCATGCATGATGGTACACCAGCCCATTTTAGCATTGATGTACGAAATCACTTAGATGCAGTATATGCAAATCGTTGGATAGGTAGGGGAGGTACGGAACATTGACCTGCTCGATCGCCGGATTTAAATCCTCTGGATTTTTGCATTTGGGGTTTTCTTAAGTCACTAGTTTATTCCACTCCCGTCGAAAATGTCGGAGTCCTGAGGAACCGAATAAGAAATGCACCAGGACAATTTGCGCGAATAAGACAATCAATGCGGCGAAGAGTTGAATCTTGTCTCACGTCTGAGGGAGGTCATTTTCAGCATTTGTTGTAGCTTTGCGCCTATTTAAAATTTTATTAGGGTTATTTTCTGTTATTGTTCTAGTTTAATGTTATTGTATTAGATAGTTCTTGATAATGTATTAAAGAAATGAAAAATACGCGTTAAGATATTTTATTTTTTTGCATAAAAACGGCGCCCCACACGAAAAAAAGGCCAGATATATTTTTTGTGACAAATTTAATGATGAATTCAAAAATGATTTTTAATTTGAAATATCTCAGTGGCGTACCATGTTTTTCTTTAAATGAATTGAGATCATTACCCGTATGCACGCCAATGATGAACATAAAATTCTTAATTGCATGTCAAAAAATGCGGAATAACTACCTATTAAAATCCACCAAATTTCATTTGCATATCTTGACCGGTTTCAGAGCAATAAACAAATCGTCAGTTTTTAAGAAAAACTTTAACACCCCATATTCGGAAAACGAAGCATTTTCAGACATACGTTTATATAGCAAACTGTCATTATTTTTTCATGCTGAATCACCCCCTGAAGTTTGTCGCACTTATTTACTAACACCTTACGTTACCTAGTAATAATCCTTAATATTATAAAAACATTTTGTTATTAAAAAATTTTTTAATGTTTAATTAAAGCTGTTAATGGATTTTATGTTTTTAATATCAGCTGGCAGTTTATTAAATAACTGAATTTCTGCATACTCAGGACTATGTTCATAGATAGCAGTTACATGTCTAATTGTACATAACATATTGCCATTAGGAGTGGGATAATTGTGACAATCATTGTTCCTGAAAAATTTTGTTTCATTTTTTTTGTATATAGGATTGTCTTATAAATATATATTGAGGGTAGAGTGAGTATGTGATATTTAATAAAATGATCCCTGCATGTTTGTCTTGATTCCAGATTGAAGTTTCCCCAGAGTGTAATATTGTATGATATGTGTGAATATACAATTGCATAATATACCTGTAGAAGTTGGTTAAATGTAAATATCTGTTTTAATTGAAGTAGAGTATAACAACCACTATTAACCTTTTTATAGATGTAATTAATATTTGATTTCCAGCTCATATCACTATCTAGCAGTACCCCCAGAAATTTTGTTTTCTGCGACAAGTAGACATCATTGCAATTTACCTTTGTATATATATTATCATAAATTCTATTCCTTGAAAAAACTGAAAAGCAAATGTTGTATCAGAATTTAAGATTAAGGAATTTTTATAGCTCCAAGTTAAAAAATCTGAAGCTACTAAGTGAAGTTTCTGCTGCAGCTCATCTGGAGAAGTTGCATGAGATGCTAAAGTTGTATCATCGGCATAGAGTATGGTACAATCTACAGACACATGTTGAGGAAGATCTTTTACATATAACAAAAATATTAGTGGTCCCAAAACTGAGCCTTGTGGTACTCCTCGGGTTAGACTTTTCAATTCTGATTTACAGTTACCCACTTTTACACATCTGATGTAAATCTAAATAAGAACTTAGCCATTTTAAAATTATGCCCCTGAAACCTAATGCCTATAATTTATCTTGAACAATGGATATGTCAATTGTGTCAAAAACTTTGGAAAAATCAAAGAAGAGTGCATCCACATACTGCCCCCTATCTAGCTGTCAATATACAGGGTGTTTCAAAAAAGTATTTCATAAATTCTTCCACAGATAGATTACCAAAAAATAAGTGGATTTGGCTATATTTACCTAGTTCTTTTTGATTTTTAGATCGATAAAGTAAGTTTCTTTATGACAAAAAAATATGGGTGGGTTAAAAGGTACCCAACCCCCCAACTTTTTTTAAAGAGGTCGCTTTAAATTTTTTTTCTTCTTGGAATATTGGGCCTTTAAATCTACAGCACTGGCAAAAATTTCAAAGAAAAATTGGCAACAGCAAACTTTTTACAAAAAAAAAAAAGTTTTTTTGAATGTTAGTTTAATGCCCTGTAACTTTGTTAGGAGCCAGTTTTTCATATAGGTAAATATACCCAAATCCACTTATTTTTTGGTAATCTATCTGTGGAAGAATTTATGACATACCTTTTTGAAACACCCTGTATATAGTTGAAGAAAGCAGTAGTTGCACTATCCATTGACCTGTCTGGAAGAAAACCATGTTGATGTTCAGTTAGGATATTTAATTTTTTTAGAAAAGATAACATTTGTTGTCCTACACATTTCTCAAAAACTTTATATATTATAGTGGGGATTTAATAGGTCTGTAGTTATCCGCTGACAAGAGACAACTTTTTTTAAAGATTGGTGTTACAAATCCAATTTTAAGAGCGTTTGGAAAGACTCCAAGTAACAAGGAATTATTGATTACATAAGCTAATGACAATGACAATGTATGGGGCAAATGTCTTTATGATTTTTGTGGAAATGCAATCAATTCCTTCTTCATTGGTATTATTTAGAGATGCAAGTGTTTCTATCACTTGTTCATAATTCACTTCTATAAACTTAAATATGTTTGGAACAAACACAGTGGTGTAATTAATAAAAGTAGTGTTGGGAAAATGATTTTTAATTGCATAACTAGCAATTGAAGAAAAGTATCCTACAAACATGTTGGCAATATCTAAGTTTTCTGTTAATCTTATACCATTAGCATCATGTATTTCACTAAAATTAGTAATTTTTTGTTTTTGTTGCATATTTTTGTTTGCTAAATTTTCTTGAAAAAAGTGCTTCTTGCATTTATTATTTTTTTTCCATTTTGCATCGTTCCGATATATGACTATCAGAAACATTTTTTGTGAGCCAATAGGTACACATTTTTTAAATTATTTCTCATTATTTACCCATTTTGTATTACGTCTGTTTTCAAAGTAATTTTTATTTACCATTGGACAAGTTTTATTTACATGGTAGGAAATTATGTTCAAAAATGTATTATAAATCTCATCAATATCCAATAGAGCTTCAAAAACAAGTAAGAAATCTTCCTGTGACATTTTCAAGGATATACTACATACATTTGCATACGAAGTATTTCTAAATGAAACAGTTTTCATGTCACTTTCTTTTTGAGAATGAGTAGAGTGATTTAGTGTTATAGTAAGTCCATAGTGATCACCCTAAATAAAAGTCTTGTACTATTATTTTTGTATGTTTTCTTATAATATAAAAATTGGTAAAAACAGTAATAAATGGGAGGACTTATAGGCATTGATTTGAGAATACAATGGACCCACAATTTATCAGTAACTTTTTAAAAATCGAAGTTTAAATATTTAAAATAATTATAAAAGAACAATGTAAGTAAAAATAAGGATCTCTAATGCATGGACCAATTTAAAAATGGTGAAAAGAAGTCATTGGATTCTAAAGATTTTAATTGACATCCTCAGAATTTTTGGTATACAAATCTATTTTTCTGTAGTTCATAATATTATTGCCAGACAAATAAGATATTTGTAGCCACAATACTTCAAATGTTAAATTCAAAATAATATATAATAATAGAAGGTTCCTAAAATATTTGCTTACCTTTAATAACCTCAACTGATCCAATGTAAGCTCTTTAAGTGGAATTTCCAACATATCATTGTCTGCTAATTCTTTTTTCTTCTTCATGGATATACACACATGAAAATCATGGTATATAATGGGCACCAAATCTTTACTTAACTGTACATCAAATTCTACAAAATCGGCTCCATGATCAATAGCATTCCTCAAACTAGCAATTGTGTTTTCTCTAACCTCTGCACAGTTTTGTACTCTTTGCTTAAAGCTGGACCCTGAACCCCTATGACCTACATCTAAACCTGATCTCGTCTTCTTCCAATGTCTGGCAAAGGAAATCATCATATCACACTTGAAATTGGGCATTGGACCAATCATTAAATAATCTATTTTAATTTGTCCTAAAGGACGATGCTTTGTACTTGTCACTGGTAATACTACATTTCCTTCAGAAGCTTGTAACACAGAAGGTAATAGGTAACTGAAACCTGCATGATAAGGAGGCTCTCCATCGCCACTTCTAGTACTGTAAATATAGAGATCAATTAAAAAGGCAATGTTTGATGGGAACAAAACAGTAGATTGAAAAATAAGCATATCATCTTTATGGAGTTCATGTCCAAATTGTTTTTGAAGACAGAAAGTTGGATCCTCAGAATTAAGACTAGCTACTTCTGTAAAAGCATGCCTAGGGGCCTCAACAGAATCTTGCGTATCTGCACTTAAGGACTCATCTAGAACTTCAGCCATTGTTTTAGGAAAGCCACTGTGTCGTGTTAAACTCACTGGTGTTACTTTGATGTTTACCAATCTGTTATGATATTTTGGTCTAAACAATGAAAGGGGATTGTTGCAAAGTTTGAGTTGGATGACTGTTTCTTTATTTAACCAACCCCTATCTACTCTTTCTCTATCATTATAATATCCATAATCATGAGGAGGATCTTCCATTTTGGGTGAACTACCATTTTCTGAATCTATTTCTCTTGGTACTAAGTTTGCCTCCCAGCTTTTAACAATTACTTGAATATTCTGTTCTATAACCACACAGATGCAATATCTGAATTGTACTTTTTTCTTTTCTGGAATTTCAATAATACCTGACCAGATACTGCCATCATCTTCCTCTTTTGCAAGAGGCACACATTTCTCTGGGTGCCAAGAGCCCAGCTCTGGCAATTCTCCTACTACACAAACAGATTCATCATTTTTTAATTCAGGTACACTAACACGAAACAGCCAATTTTTTGGAGTGTATTCTGTTGATTTCAAGGATGTGCTAGATATTTGTGTCTCCACTTTTCCTGAACGAATATCAGCATAACTGGGATCTTCTAAGAAAAACCAACGTTGCATTGTGAATGAATTAATTTGAATTTAAAAATTTTCAAAAATATTTGGATTATATTAATAATAAGCCAGGCAACTACACTTTTTTTAACTCAAAATACAAAAACTCGAAAATGATGACAGGAGACATTATTGTTTCTTATCAAACTCACAATTGCTTGCTTGAGTCCTCACTAGGTATATTGAGAAACACATTTTCAGAAAAATATTGTGGACAATTTCAAAGTTTTACTAGAGTATTTGTTCTAATAGAATCGAACCACAACCACAACACTTCACTGAAGGTAACTAATCCACAACTAATCTAACAAAAACAATCCTCACTAAACGAAATTTTTATTCACGAAAAGAGCAGACAGCGTGACAGTTCCACAAAATTTTGGTTGTGGAAGGCGGAAATGTAAAAGCTGTGTAAATGCTTTTTATCGTAAATGTAAAATGTAAACAGTGGCAGTGACTACTGATAAGTAAGGGAAATGGGGGAAATGAAAGTCCAACTGTCATAATCCAAAGTTTATTTGACGTCATAGAATACGTCATAGTACGTCACTTTAATGACGTTCCCAGGACGTTCCTAATTCAAAGACGTCATATAACTAATTTAGAAATTCGTATTAGAATGCCTTCAAGGGACTATTGTATAAAATCTTAACCATACAACCATACATACAACTGATATTTTGCTAAACCGATTCTAATTAAGTACTTGCGAGGCAAATAGGGCCGCTTGCAATACAACACGCCTTGAGCAATCTATATAATTATATAAAAATCATTGACACTGTTCTTTCATTCGTCCCACTGGTGTATGAATGAACTACACCAACGTACACTAAACCTTTCGTTCGACCCGGTGTAAAATCCACTAAACCTTCCTGTCGGCGATGTGGTGTCCACTGGTGGATATTTTCTCCACCAGCTATTTAGCAGGAGTGAATTACACTCGAAATGTGTATAAGGAATAAGAAGGGAAGTAAACTAAGGTAAATAAGGTGGTGTAACTGGTGTAATTTACACTGGTGGACACTGCACAAACAGCGAACGAAAGTACCTATTGATATGGCAACCCTGTGTTCTCTTGGTTATGACAAGGTCAATGCTACATATAAGAGGTTCTTTCGTTCGTTGTTGGTGCAGTTTCCACCAATGTAAATTACACCAGTTACACCACATAATTATGCCCTAGTTTACTTCCTCCTTACTCCTTTATATACATGTCGAGTGTAATTCACTCCTGCTAAATAGCTGGTGGAGAAAATATCCACCAGTGGACACCACATCGCCGACAGGAAGGTATAGTGGGTTTTACACCGGGCCAAACGAAAGGTTTAGTGTACGTTGGTGTAGTTCATTCCTACACCAGTGGGACGAACGAAAGAACCTAGTGTCTTTTCCTTTGCATCGAAAGTGTAGCACTGAGCTACACCACTTCTGAAAATATCGTTCCATTTATACAAATTGTATGGATGGAACGATATTTTCAGAAGCGATGTATCTCAGTGCTACACTTTCGATGCAAAGGAAAAGACCTATAATTATATAGATTTATAGATTACTCAACGCGAGTCGCTTTGCGAACGGCCATATTGCCTCGCAAGTGCTCATTAATCAGAATCGGTGTTACAAAAAATATGTTTTATAACCAGTTTTCAGCCTATAAGTACAGTACAAAAATTATTAGTTAGATTTTTACTTCATTGCATGAGCTTATATTTATTTTAATCCACAGGATCAATCTATATAACTGTCGTAGCATTAACCCAATGAACTGGAGTGGGGTAGAATGCTTGTCAATAGGCTTGAGATGCGACTCTATGGGCGAAGACAGGTTATTTTTCATCTCACTCGGGAGTATAACAACCATTTTCTATTTGACTTTGTTGTTGTCTGATCCACCAGCTTGTGGATTGAACAATATTAATGTGAAACAGAAAATGGTTATTATAAATACTCCCAAGTGAGATGAGAAATAAACATGGCTGCGCCCATAGAGTCACATCTTGTTCTATTGATACAATATGCACATTGGCTTTTTACCCCACTCCAGTTCATTGCATTAACCCTGTCAAATTTACTTGGGGCTACAGGTGCTGCGTTTGAGAATCCACATCGGATGCATCTGAGATGTAAAAAATCTTTGATCACGTGATTCAGTATACGTAAATGTAATGGGACAGATGTATCCGATGTGGATAAAAAAACGCTCGAGATGTAAAAAATGCATCCGATGTGGATTCTCAAACGCGGCAAGGGTTTGCCATATTAGGTCTTTTCCGTTGCATCGAAAGTGTAGCACTGGGCTACACCAATTCTGAAAATATCGTTCCATATATACAAATTGTATGGATGGAACAATATTTTCAGAAGTGACGTAGCTCAGTGCTACACTTTCGATGCAAAGGAAAAGACCTAATATCATGTTTATGGACAACCATTTTGTTTGGAATACCCAATTGTTTGTTGACAGTAAAAGTTTCCATAGTTTGTTCACGGACAAACAGTACATTCTGGTAAGTTCTATGTCCCAGGAATTTTGGGGCTTCCTGTATTTTTGCTTTGAAACTTAATATGGTTATTACTGAACCTAGTCAATTTTCAGAACGTATCCCTCAGTGACAGATGTCAATTCAAAGTCATGTGTCATTTAAAAAATGTGAAGTGTAAAGTTAGGTTAAGAGACTAAAATGTTGTCACTGTCAGTTTTAAAACAAGTTTTAATAAAACCTCATTTATCAAAGGCAATATCTACTTTTAGTATATTGAAACAGAAGGCGAGTGAAGATCAGCCTGTTCTGGAATACAGAGACATTACAAAAGACCGCACTGAAAAGATCCCTGTTGAAACTAGCATTAAGTATTTAAAAAGTGTAGCTTTTAAAAAAACATACGAAGGCCAACCGGTATGGGTTCTATACAGAAGAAACCATAAGGGAATGTACCCCCCTAGGAAAACTAGGAAGACTTGTATAAGAGGCGGACAAATATCTACAGGCAACCCATGTCCCATCTGTAGAGATGAATATTTAGTTTTGCATGAAGAAAATATCGATTTATTAAAACAGTTCATATGTCCACATACTGGTAGTATTCTAAGTTACGCAAAAACTGGTTTATGTCAAAAGAAACATCAGGATCTTATAGTTGCAATTAAAAGAGCTCATGATAGAGGGTTAATTACATTTGATGTTCCATTTAGACAGTACGACTACTCGGAATTTCTTCCTAAAACTTCGTAAATAATGGAGGCTGTTTTTATAGTTGTAGGAGGAGGAATAGCAGGTGTTACATGTGCAGAAACTTTAGCATTTTTTGAACCAGAAAAAACAATTATATTGCTTAGCGAATCATCCCTTATAAAAACTGTAACCAATCTCCTTGCAATTACAAGAACCTTAACAAAATTTGATATTAAAGAAGTACAATCTTCTGAGTTCTCACTAAAACACCCAAATGTTAAATTGATTCATGATACTTTAGCTGAAGTAAATGATAAAGAAAAGTACATTATAACTAAAACCAACAAAATTATAAAATACGAATATTTATGTTTATGCACAGGAGCTGAGCCCAAACTAATACCTCAATCACAAGATTTTGAAGAAATATTAGGTATTAGAGATACAGATTCCATTGATACCTTTATAAAGAAAATAAACAATGCTAAGAAAATTGTTATTGTTGGTAATGGAGGTATTGCCTCTGAATTAGCATATAAAATTAAAAATACTGAAATTCATTGGGTTATTAAAGATCGACATATTTCAGCTACATTTGTTGACCCAGGGGCAGCTGAATTCTTCTTACCATCTTTAAATAAAGATGAAATACAGAAAGAACCTGTTAGTAAAAGAATGAGATACCAAGAGGAAGATTTCAAGAAATCTGGTGCTGCATTGGGTCCTGATTGGTACACTAATCTCATTATTAGAGGTGCTGGTGATATTAATATTCCTTCAACTGTTAAAATTCATTATGAAACTGAAATATCTGATGTATCAAGAGACAAAAAATCAGAGCATCCTATGGAAATCACTCTCTCTACTGGCGAAAAAATTAAGTGTGATATTATAATTTCTGCAACTGGAGTAATGGCTAAAAAATTATTCAAAACAAAGTCAGATTTAGAATTAACCAATTTAGGGGAAATACAAGTTAATGAGCATATGGAAACTAATATTCCATACATCTATGCAGCAGGTGATGTCTGCAGTGCTAATTGGTCAATTGCAAAACATTGGTTTCAAATGAAATTATGGACTCAAGCTAGGCAGATGGGATCTTATGCAGCAAAGTGCATGGCTGGTCACTTGAATAAAGAAGAAGTCTTGCAAGATTTTTGTTTCGAAATGTTTGCTCATTCCACCAAACTTTTTGGACATAAAGTTATTTTACTGGGGCTGTTCAATGGACAAAAGTTGGGAACAAATTATGAAATTCTGATTAGAATGACAAAAGGACATGAATACATAAAGTTCGTTTTGGAAAACAACAAACTACAGGGTGCTGTTTTAATTGGAGATACAGATTTAGAGGAAATGGCTGAAAATTTGATTCTAAATCAAATTGATTTGTCACCTTATGGTGATGATATTTTGAATCCTGATATTGACATTGAGGACTATTTTGATTAACTGTAATAAAAATGTAATAACTGCTTATTGTAATCTTTACAACTCTTAGTTTCTTCTACAAATTCATTTTGAATAAAAAGTGTAATTTAATAATTTGTGTTCTTATTATTTATTTGATTAAAATTAGGAATGGGAATTATCCAGGGAATTATAAAAAAGTCCATGCTTAAAATACAGGGTGTCCCACTATAAAGTAACATTTTAACAGTTTATAACTCGAAAATGGAAAATAATATCAACGTTTAATTTTCACTAAACTTCTTACATTTGAAGGGTACACGGGAAAAATAGGCTAAGTCAATTTTTAGACCGAATTGAGATAATGCTATCTATTGGCAACGCGTGGTCAGAGTTCAGCTGTTTTGATTACAGTGTCGCTGTCAACTAATTTTGTAAAACTTATTTATAATATTGCAAAATGAACATAATACTGAAGGTGGCGGTTGGCGGTGTGCTAATTATTAAAACAAAAGATCAATACTTGGAAGAATAAGAGACGCAAGCAAAAACTTGGGCTTGCAAAGCCACGAATATCTGCAGAAAAATGTTCAAACCTCCAATGCCTCACACGTTTTTGTAGTCCAACTGCCCAGAATTTTTTTTCTAATCTTCCACATGTTTAACAAATTTCATTTTTTAAACTCTCATGATACTGTTATGTTATATTACATTTTTTAGTTTTGTAATTATTACTTATTGTTTTACAAAATAAATGCCAAAAAATAATGTAACAAAGAAACAGGTGAAAAACAAGCTAAGTCATATTTTTTTGTTAACAGGGTAATTTGGAGGCTTTAGACTTACACAATTCAGTACTTATAAGTTTTTTAAGTAATTAAAAGTTAAATTGCTCTAAAATGTTATACCCAATAAAAAATTTGTAGAAATATAAGTCTAAAACGGCGATAACTCTCGGACCAACAAAAAGACTTAGCCTGTTTTTCCCGTGTCGTGTACCCTTCATTTACTGCAAGTTTTGTTGACATAGTTGCCAAATGTATATTTTTTCCATAAACTGTAGGAAAAAAATGCCTCTCCATATCTTTTTCCTTTCTTAAGTTTTAAATGTGTTACTTTTTAGTGGGAGGGACAAAGTTTGGAAACTCCTAATAATTAAGTATCTCATAAATGGGTAGTCTGAATTGTACAAAATTTGGGATAATGAGATTCCAGATTTGACATTTGCAATGTTCCTTAAATTAAAATTACATTTAATTCTAAATCGATGTTAAGAATACTCTATGCTGTATAAAATTTCATTCTCTTCGATAGGAACAGGAAAACTAATTAAAGTTCCTTGAGAAGATAGGCATTGAGACATTTCTTTGCTGCAATAGCGACACAATTGGGCACAATATATCTTTTAGGTACATAAGAGAACATAAAGACAAACATTTAGGTATACTTGCTGACTCCTTTATCTGATAAATTTAATAGTTATTGGTAATACATATATGTGACTTTGCAAAATGCTTAATACATGCAATTATAACACCAATACACAAATCGGGAGATAAAAAAGTAACAAGTAATTACCCAGACAACACACCAAGTCCCAGAGATATCCACAGAATATATTTTGTGGATATCCAATATATCCACAGGATATCAGAAATATTCCGTGGAACTAATAAGGATATCCAAATGTCCGTCTATGGCGTCTATATCCAGAATATAGAAGATATCCTATGGATATTCAGCAAAATATCTAATGAGTATCTCCAGACAATACAAGAAATCCCAGATATATCCATAGAATATATTTTGTGGATATCCAACCAAATGTCCGTCTATATCCCAGGATATAGAAATTCAGATAAATATTTTATAATTATTTTTAGTAGAGGTTCATAAGTAACCAATGGTTATTGAATAACGTCGAAAGAAAATAGAGGTAAAAAATTTTCCCAACAATCTGCCTTTGATTTTGCCTACTAAGGAGAAAATCATCCTTATTAGGAATCTTCAGCAATAAATGGAACTTCTCGACTTCAGTCTCTAATGAAGTCTGTTTGTGAAACAATGTCGATCAAACTCAATTACGGCGGGTTAAGCATGAGTAGATACGAAAGTGGTATCGCCATCTATACTTAGGAAGCAAAATCAAAAATTACATCTAGTAGATATCCACGATGGTTTGCGTCCGCGCTTAGACTTTGATATATTTATAGTGGATGTCCATGGGATATTGAATACACCTTAAAAAAAATTAATTTTAAATATCTCAACGGTACTATTAGCCACAATGGCGAGTACAATGGCGTAATTTTTTAATAATTTGCTATATAATTACAATTATTTATGGACATTTGCATGTCTATAAATTACATTTCATGGATATAAAATAGATATCCACCATGGACTGGACATTCAGTGGATATTGGGATGTTCAGTAGATATCCAAAGGATTTGGTGTGCTGTCTGGGTACAGACTCATTGCCTTAACCAGTGGCGTAGCCACGGGGGGTTTTGGGGGTCACAATCTTATTGGGGCCGATTTCTAATAACTGTTTGTTAGCCCCCCATAGTTCTCATAACCCCCCCCCCCCCCCATAAAAATGTCTGGCTACGCCACTGGCCTTAACAAGTAACCTGTCAAAACTGATTTAAAAATGCGCTAAGCTTAGACTGACTCAGTACCTTCCAAAAAACAATTTACTTTCTAACAATCAGTTAGGCTTTTGCAAAGATTTAAGTATAGAGAGGACGCTGTCATCTGCTTAACAGACTATGTTAACCGCAGTCTTTCCGAGGGCAATGCTCCTAAGGGGCAATGTATCTATTCGCTAAGTATGACAGCAGCGCCAATTCATTTTTGTACTAATGGACTATTTTTGCGTATACTGACAATACAATTTTTTAGTGGAATTCGCATTTAAAAAGTATATATGTTAGTTTAAATAAAAGTATAAGAATTTGTAAAATTATTATTATATATTTTTATCGCTTAAACTAAAAAAAAAAAACTAAGTATAATCAATAAAAATCACTAATAAAATATAGACAGGCAACAGAGTATTTACAGGAAAATGTATGAGAAGTTGCCTAAGTCTAATAAGGTGTCTTGAAGAATTAACCTATTCTGTCAAAATAAAAAAAATTATATTAAAATAGCGTGAAGTTAAAATGTATAAACAGAAGGATTGTTGTTTATATTTTTATTTTTGTTTGAAAGAAAACATAGAATGAATGATTAAAACTGGTTTCCTATCACTAAATCACCAAATTGCATTCCAGCCACATACAATAATCAAAGACAGAAATCCAATTCTTTCTGAACATTTAAGATTAAAGGGATGTTGAAGAAACATCGTAAAATGATAATTTATTGTTTATTTAAAACCTTTCAAGTTTCTGATGTCTACTATTTCCAGTATTATTGTTATTACAACAAAAATAAAGGTAATTTTTCTTCTTATTGTACACCTATCCATTTGATTTAATTTCCACTTTGTTACTGAACATTTTTATAATTTACAATGTTTTTCTTCCTAGTATTTTTACAATTTTCAATACAGCAACTCCGGTTGCTTATTATATTGTTTTTACCAACTTTTTTTTTAAAGTAAAATGTATATACGTGTAGTTGATATGCAAAAATTATAAAATATCGCCCTAAAATGCATGAAATTATCCACAGTTAGCGCTAGTATCGCTTTTGCTTCCCCTACCACGACTTCGCACTAAGCGAATAGGCATTTTTTATTTGGATCTGGGAAATGCATTTGATATTGTGACACACCAAATTTAGCTGATCAAACTAGAAAAAGTGTGAATTACCTTATACCCAAACAGCACAAATAGGTCCATTGGACGTTCATTCGATATACAATTTTGGATGTCTGGACATCCAAAGATGACTTCCGACGTCCAATGGACGTCCATTGAAGTATACAAATGGCACACTTTTGGCCGTTCTTAGGATGTCCAATTCTGGATTATATTTGGACGTTCAATACGGGACATTTAAAAAACGTCCATTCCTGGATATTCCATTGGGACCACAACCCTTACTTTTTTACACAACCGCAACTCACCATACACTATTTTATAATAATCATAATTTATTTATTATTTTCGCAACCACTTTTTTTTGTTTTTTTTTTTTTTTATTTATTAAAAATTACTTAACCAGAGCAGGTATCGAACTCACGACTCGTCCATTGTCTTGCTGGGCATTCAAGCGCTAGGCGACCTCGACCAAGGAGCCACTTGAAAAATTCTTACTAGATACGGTTATAATAGAATAAGATTTCAAGCTTCCGCTGATAGAATGAAATGTAATAGATTTAATTTGTCAATTTTTAATAATAATTAATAAACTTAAAAGTAAGTCCAAAAACAGACGTCCTCTGGACATCGATATGCAGCTGTTAATTAATGATCATAAACGGACGTACACTGGATGTACGAATACGGATATGTACGAATACGGATATGGACGTTCTGGACCTCAAGGCCTCAAAAGGATCTAAAGTGGACGTCCATTGGACTATGTGTGTTGTCTGGGTAAATAATTTAACGCATACCTAAGTGAAAGAACCCAGTCTTAAAATTATTAATATCATAATAAGTACACTTAAGTAAGTCGGTAGAATTTGGTGTGCCACAGGGGACGATGCTTGGACCAGTTTTTTTCTTAATTTATGTTAATGAATTATTAAACTTGATTTCTGATGATGAGGGGCACATGGTTTGTTTTGCAGTTGATACTGCCATCGTAAATAAAAGAAAAAATTGGAAAGAAATAGTGCTTAAAACAGAAGTAAAATCATGGTTTTACAAAAATTATTTAACCCTTAATGCTGATAAATCAATGCTTCTATGCTTTTCTGTAAACAAGGTGAAATTACTGTACATAAGCATAGTTGCCAAAGAAAATATTCCTATGATTGTACCTTTAAAATTAAAAAATCAAAGAATTACTTAGGCATAATAATATAGACTAATATCTAAAATGGGAAAAGCACATAAACTATAAGTATTTCTAATAAAATACAGTCTATAAATTTTACCAATCATGATAAGAGACTATAAGAGATGACCAATTCAAATTAAAAAAAAAGAACACCATATAGGACTAAATACAGATAATATTTTTTAACAAACAGAATCTTTGAAGTTTGAAACAGCTTGTCCAATGATGTTGTAGACATCGACAAACATGTTAAAAATTAATTAGACTGTTTTTATGAACAATTAATTATCTTCAAACCATATTAACTATTGTAAATTGTTAGGCTATATAGAACCTAGTTTACAGCCTTTAATTGTTTTTAATAATAATAATAAGAATAATAAGAATAATAAAAAATAACTCTGAAAAATCATGTAACTAAAAATCTTAAAAACAATATACTTTGCTCCAGTGGAATCTAGATTAAATTACTGCATAACCGCATGGGGGTTGCATCAAAATCCTTTATAGAACAGTTAAAAATAACATAAAAATACAATTTAAAAATTAGGTATTTTTAATAAAAATTAACAATATCTTACTGATAGGCTGTACAAAGAATCAAAATGCTTGCGAATTAATACATTGTATCTTCTTTTTGGTCGTGTAGTTTCAATTTTTTTATCTCTATTCGTTTTTACATAACGTTACCATAGCGTTGCCCCAACGTTACCGTTATGTTACCCTAATTCGTAACTCCATTTTTGCCAAATTCACATTTTCATGCCAACTTATAGAGAAAAAAACCTCTATTACATATTTCAAACTTCATAATTCCAGAATAATATTATTCTGGCTTCTGGATTTATGATGTTTGAAACATGTAATGGAGGTTTTTTTCTCTACAATTTGGCATGAAAATGTGAATTTGGCAAAAATGGAGTTACGAGGTTTGCTAATTATGGTAACGATAATGGGTATTTTTCCAATTGTTCACTTGTTTTTTATGTCCCTCCCTTAAATTAAAATTACATTAACTGTATTCCAATCACCAAATTGTTTAAATATTACAGTGTCAAATCATTTCTCTACATGATAAAGATTTTGAGTGAGTGAGTGAAGAAAAAATTAGCCTCGGACATTGTCCATTAGCCACAGAATGATTAAGTCAATCAAATGTGTAAACGAGGAAACTGGATAACTATATTGATAAAGAATTTAATATGAATAATTCAAAAATATCATAAGAAATGTCTTTTGGTCTAGAATATAATACGTCGATTACTGTTGGGAAGAATAATGTAATTCAAGTACATGATGGTGCTTTTATAGGTTAGCTCAGACACCGTCGTGTAGCAAGGATAATAATAAAAAACGCCAAAAAATTTTCACTAATTTAATTGAAATGACCAATCTTATTTCCGTTAATTTTTAAATATACAAAACTTGTATGTATTTTTTTTTTTTTCAAAAAGAAAAAAACATCGAACGACATATACAAAAAAATATCCAATTACATTGAAAATTTGCTTACAATAATTATATTATTTAGGTACATTGAATTTAAATTAAAATACAGAAATAACTTGTGTTGGTTTGCGGGCCCAGAAAGTACCTCCATCTTTAGCTACGGTAACGCTGCAACAAAAAAAGATTTTAGATAACATGTATTTATTGACATTAGAATGGCTGAGAGGAAAAAGTTTTCTGCGAATAATTAATAAATATATGAAAACTTTTTGGAAAAAACAAAATGTAGTTTTTTCGGTATACTCAAAACACGTTATCACAGTCTGATCTGGAATGGAATCGTACATTTAAATTACTTCTTAGGGCCTTTTCAGACGATGCGGCTGCGATACGACTTTCCGTTTGCGATATATCGTATCGCAATGGCAAAAAGCTTTCACACAAGGCAATACAATTTCTTTTCCAACGATTTAAAAATAAAATATTGTGCGCGGTGTTGTCATTGCTCAGTTGCTCTTCGCAGTTAGTGGAGTGTATTTGCAGTATGTATAATAGAAAACGAATTATTTTATTGAGATTGCTACATCAAAGGCGAAGGAAGCGCAAAGTTATTGCTAGATGTAAAAACGGATAACTTTCCACCGCTTCAATTAATTCAATTATTTCGTATTTGAATTTTAATTTTGAAGCCATTGCGAAGGCACAAATGATACGCTGCACAAGCTGAAGACACACTGACAAAATTGAAACACTGAAATTTTATTTTACTGATACATATCGCGACAAGCAGCGACACATCTGGAAATGTGCATTTATTTTAGTGGTTGGTTTAATGTCGCACGGAAAAAAATTGGGCGTTATCTGACCAAAAACGCACTGTCTTGTGACGCAAAAATTTGCCGCACTAAGCGTCCGTTTTTTGTCGCTTCCGCATAATGTGAAAATTACACATATATTTTTATACTTCCACGATATCTTTGCGACATGCTGCAGACGGAAAATAGCATCGCAGCCGCACCGTCTGAAAAAGCCCTTACATTCAGTTATCTTTATCTACGTATTTCTATATTCTACAGAAGTGCTTCTCAAAGCGAAAATGTTTGACGGAACCTTTTTGAAAAGCGAAAATATTTGACGGAGCCCTAAACACATTTCTAAAAAAAAAGTTTTCAAGCAATATCATATCCTCCTTCCTCTTAGTGACTCCTAAAAAAAAGTCCTCAAGCCAGGTCGCCCCCTTTTGTGGCGATAGTACTGCATAGTACTGCTTCTTTTTTTCTTTTTTCTTTTTTTGATTATGACTATTATTATCTTCGCGGAGCCCCCACAAAGGCTTTGCGGAGCCCCATATAATTTTCCTATAAACGTCCCAGTTTTCATTTTACAGGGTTATATAGTGAATTGAATAAATACATAATTTTCTAAATATCTTTCCTTATGTTAAATACTTTAAGTTAAAAATATGTATATGTTAGTTAATCGTCATTATTAGCTAACACACTCTATTTCGATAAATTACGATTACCCATTGGCGTAGAATCAAGGGTTATGAAACCAATTTTCATCCAAACTTTTTAAACACCCTTTATTCCATAAAAGTTAAGATTAATAATTATTCCTTACGCAATTTGTCACAAAAAAGAAACTTTTGGTTAATCTCTGTAAAATATTCCATTTCCGAGATTTTTCAGTTTTAACCTTGCTCAAAGGTTTCATGTTTATGAAACCTATGTAAATTTTATCAAGCGCCGATTTCATAATGATTTTAAAACAAATAAATTGATATTTTTTTCGTTACTATAGGTGCAATACCAAGCGAGTTATAAGCTTTTTGTTAATAAGTTTCTTCTTTAACCCACATCACAGTTTTAAACCCTACAAAAAAAGTAAAATAATTACTTACTAAATAGTGTATTTTCCTTGGGTACTTGGTGCTTTCCACGTCAATTTTTTGTTTTTCTTATCAGTGGCGTTCTTGTGTGTTATGGCACTCTAAAAAAATATATATAAAGATGTACAAGCGCAGTTTTTATGTTGTTTTGTCATTCAATGAATGAATTTGGTTTTTGGAATTATAAATAACAAAAATTTGACTTTCTGACAGTGGCGGCCGGTGACCAAAATATTGGATATTCACAATATTGGAGTTCACAGATGTAGAAAAAAACTCTCAGTGCTTTAGGTATACTATACTTTTCTATGCCTTTCTCAGCCTTTTTATATCTTTCTATACCTTGCTGTACCTTGCTATACCTTGTTATACCTTTCTATACCTTTTTATGCCTTTCTATACCTTTCTATACCTTTGTATGCCTTTCTGTACCTTTTTTTACCTTTCTATGCCTTTCTATACCGTTCTATACCTTTCTATACCTTTTTATGCCTTTATGTACCTTTCTGTACCTTTCTGTACCTTTCTGTACCTTTCTATACCTTTTTATGCCTTTCTGTACCTTTCTTCGCCTTTCCATACCTTTCTATACCTTTCTGTACCTTTATATACCTTTATATACCTTTCTATACCGTTGTATACCTTTCTATACCTTTCTATACCTTTCTATACCTTTCTATACCTTTCTATACCTTTCTATACCTTTCTATACCTTTCTATACCTTTCTATACCTTTCTATACCTTTCTATACCTTTCTATACCTTTCTATACCTTTCTATATCTTTCTATACCTTTCTATACCTTTCTATACCTTTCTATACCTTTCTATACCTTTCTATGCCTTTCTATACCTTTCTATACCTTTCTATACCTTTCTATACCTTTTTAAAACAATGAAAGTTTTTAGCTACATCTGTACCTACTGAGATCTATATTCTGTCATTGTAAACCCCCAATATTTTGGTCACGAGCCGCCACTGTCTAAAATACATATTGTATCACTTGTAATTTAAGTTACTAGGTAATTTTGTCTTAATTGTATTTAATACACTGCCACGTGCATAATAAAAAAAAATATAGCTATTAAATATTTTACCTTGAAAGAAATTCTGCAAGTAATTCAACACTCATTTTTCTGAAAATTTACTATTACTTTAGTTGGCAAATCTATTAAATATTGCAGGTAAATAGAATATATTAGATTGTTTTTTAATATATTCTATATCATGATATAAAAGCAATAACTCTTTATTTTTTTTATAAATTAAAAGTTAATGGAATATGTTTCCTGTTTTTAATATATTTTAACAGTATTGTCAGTTTCCTGTATGATATACGTTTTTAAAGCAGTCGCCTAAATTTTAAATTAACGTTTCCGGCCATATTTAGCAAAAAAGAAAGAAAATTTTCTTGTGATTTTTTTTGTAATCCAACTTTTGACATACTAATTTTACCAGAGATAACCAGGAGATGTAACTACTAACAAATATCGTGCGGCCGTGAATAAGACATATTCTAAGGGACACAGTAGGACATAATATCCGCTGTTGTCATTGTTAGTAAAGTGTATGTATTAAAATATTCGCTCAAGAAAACGATTCACCTCCCATTCTTTTGTCACAAGGCTGAATTTTTCACAGATGAAAGGTCATGATAAGGTAACCCTTATTCCGGAGTTACTACAAAATTAGAGTGTGCAGAAGGGCATTATCATCAAAAATTCAGATATTGATACCACCGAATAGAGAAAAAAATACTCATTTTTTGATCAAATGCACAATAAAATCTTTGTAGGGAGTAATTGTTCATACTTATTTAAAAAAAATCATTTGCATTAGCACTTACGGCTGAAAAAAAATATAAACGTAAATATCTTGGTTTTAGCCCTTCAAAAATTTAGTTAAAAAGTCGTCTTTTTTAAATATACCACTCATTTAACAAAAAACGAAGGCCTAAATGAAAAAAAAACATTCCTTATAAAATTTTTGGTTATGTGTTGACAAGGTAACAGAGTAAACACCATATTTTTTGCTTTTGAATTAACAAAGATATAACAATAAACGATGAGAGATGTCATAGGTTTATGCTGTTATTAATTCTCACCGCCAAATTTATCAACTCTCAGTGTATCTTTCTCTTCACCTTCAAACGTAGCATAGCTCTGTTTCTCTCTACATGCCGGCTGATGTATCACATTATTGATATGGTAGGATTTTTCATTTTTTTTATTATAAAACTTCTCGTTATGTTCCATTGGGCAATGTGTCATATTGTTATCTGTTTTTACTAAAGAATTAATAAGTGTATGTGTTATATATTAAATTACCTAATAAATTGGGAAAAAATATAGACATTTTTGCATCTTTATTATATCTACATTCATCCTGTTGCAGCTGAATATATTTGGGTAAGTCATAAGTTTTCGTTTAAAATTTTAATTACGGATTTGTTGCTACAAGTAGCAAAGACAAAAATTATATCAAAATGGGAAAGCTCAAAAGTTGCATATCATTTAAAGAATATGCTCATATATTTGTAAACATTATTTTTAGAAATAAATTTAATGCTCAAATGATAGATGTGGTATTTGATCATTATAAAGGACATTCTATCAAAAATACAACACGTCAAAAGAGAGGATTTCAGAAATCAATTGATATAGAAATTGACCGACCCAATATTCTACTTCCGCAACAATAGAACTTGTTTATTCATTCGATATTTAACAAAAGACGTTTAACACATTTTCTGCCAGAGCAACTTCTTCAAAACTTGCAATAATCAATAAATATGGAAAGATTTTAAACCATCAAAAGACGATTTTTTAAATTCAAATCACGAAGACGCTAATAATCGTATCTTATTGCACATATTGTCAGCCAAAAATTCGGGGCATTCACGCTGCATTATTTATTGCAACGATACAGATGTCTTATTAATTTATTTTCAGAAGTTTTTGACTAAAGATATATGGTTTAGAACAGGGCGAGGAGACTCAAGACGATTTCTAGCAGTACATTATTTAAATTTGGATGAAAACCTTCTAAAAAATGTGCCTGCTTTTCATTCTCTGACCGGTTGTAATACAACCAGCTAATTGTCCAGCATTGGGAAAAGAACCTGTTGGAAAACTTACCTTTAACACCATTACTTTTTGGATGGATTTGGCATTGATCAGTACTCTGAAAACATATTCTCTAATCTTGAAAGAATTTTCATAAAAATTTATTCAAAACTGCCAATGTTACTTCCATTAACATTTTGGGGGGATTATTGGCCTCTTCAAAAACCATCGCTAAATTGCCACCTACTGAAGACGCCCTAAGACTACATTGTTTAAGATGTTTTTACCAGCTAAATATTTGGCTAACCTCTTTAAACCCAGATGCAGCTTCCTAATGTTGAAGAGTATGGATGGAAAGTAGATCAAGATGGAAGTCTGATACCCACTTTTAAGACTCTGTCCGACCTGCCACCAGACATAACAGAACTTACATCATGCAAATGCAAAAAAGATACTATACAATATTCTAACAATAATATTCTGTTTTAGACTGTGGAAGCAAAATTTGCAAATGCAGAAAAAAAATATTTGCTGTATCGGTTCCTGCACCTGTATGGCACAGCCGCTAATGTTTTGGAAAATGTTGATTCGTGTGGTGAATCTGATTCTGATTAGTTTGAAAGTCGTGTAATTATAAATTTTAATATTATTAATTTATGCTTTATATACTTCCTTCCAATTATTATTATTATTATTATAATTTATTTATATTGGGGATTTATTGTATTTTGCAAAGCAATAGCCTTACTGTTTATAATTGATACTTCAATAAATACCTTTAATAGTTTATATTTTCTTATTTTTCATTTTCCACCAAAAATAAAAAAAATCTTGAAGTAATTAATACACCCTATTATTCATAGTGGAAAAATCAATAATCCCTGTATAAAATAATGTTAGAGATCCAAACTGATTGCATACATTTCAATACTGAGATAGATGCATAAAGAGTCGAGAGGCTCTGCCTTTAATGTTTGCTCTCTAGTAAAACCATGACATCACTATTGTTTATTGCTATATTTTTGTTAATTTAAAAGCAAAAAATATGACGAAAGTACTTTTACCTTGTCAATATATAGGCGAAACTTTTATAAAGAATAGTTGTTTTTCATTTATGCCTTCGTTTTTCGTCAAATGAGAAGTATATTTCTAAATGAACATTTTTTATACAAATTTGTAGACGGTTGAAACCGAGATATTGACGTTTAAATTTTTTTTTCGACCATAAGGGCTAATGTAAATGATTTTAAATAATTATAAAAAAAATACTTTCTACAAAGACCTAATTGAGCATTAGAACAAAAAATAGCCATTTTTAACCAAATTAGATGTAATTTCATTGAATTAGATGTAATAATTTTCAACAAATTCCAAAACCTAGAGATGTTAAATTGGAAGTGGCAACAGGGCTTACACCGGCATGGAAATTTACGTTATGTAGTATAAGCTCGGGCAGTTATTCATTGATAAAACTACGTAAAATCCTTCACTCTATCCCTTCTCTTACTTCTCACCTTTCGTCGCCTCGCCCCGCGTCTAGAAATAGAATATATACAGTACTAACTATTGTTGGCACCATGAATATTATATTTTATGAATGACTGCTTATATCTCTGTTATCTCTGAATTTTACGAATTCAATGTATCTATATAGCGAGTGATACACAATTTTTTTCTAAAGTATGGCATTATCGATAAATACAGAGTGATAACTAAACACGACTTTGAATTTAATTCATACTGATACTTAAAAAGAAGAACGAAGAAGAAAAAGAATTGACCGCTCCGGCTTACTTTAGAAACATTTCTTTGTAGATCACTCAATAGTTAAATAAATTAAACAAATATTTCTTTTCATTTTAATGATTTTGCATTTTCTACTTACATTTTTATTTCCATGGCAATTAATTGTTTTGTAATATCTATCACTTTCAGAAACAATGAATTCTCCAACGGCTTTATCACCATTTCTGACCTCCACCAACAATCCTTTATATTCACCTCCGCTAACTTCAATTTCTACAGTTTCTCCGGCTTTGATTTGGTTTTTGCTAACGCTGACTTTATATGGCAGTTGACTTTTCTGAGGACTTACAGGGTGTTGTGGTGTCATGTCATTGCATACTTCTTCTGGAGCTCCGCCGGAGTAAGCATTGCAGTGATAGATCACAGATAGGAGCGTTAGTACAACGAGTTTCATTCTAAAATATTAAATTTTTGTATATAAATATGAAATGCAATTTATAAATGGCTTATAACACTTAGAACACTTAGACGGTTGGCATTCTATATTATACTCATCACAGTTAAACAGAGCCCCACCTAGCCTAGATAAAAATAAGTTAAAGAGTTCATATATGTCTTGAATTGCTTCATTTCGTAGGTGTTATTTAGATATTGCTATAAGAATTGGTCAGTAGTATTCCGACTTGTACATCGGAATTTCGACTTGTAACTGGGAATTTCGACTTGTAACGCGGAATTCCGACGTGTTACTTGGAATTTCATTTGTAATTCGGAATTCCGATATACAACTCGGAATTCCGACATACAAATCGGTATTCCGACATACAACTCGGTATTCCGACATACAACTCGGAATTACGTCATACAACTCAGAATTCCGACAAAGAACTCGGAATTTCAACATAGAACTCGGAATTCCGAGATACAACACGCTCACATGTGTGACGTCAGGAATATAACGAATATCTGACAGAATGCGCATTTCAGAGTTGGGTAGTATCCGGATACTTCTGTATTCGGATACAGTATTCGGATACAGTATCCGGATACTTTATGTGTATCCAAAAGCTGTATCCGGATACTTTTCAAATTTTGTATCCGGTATCCGTGACCAAATTTGTAAGTATCCGGATACCGGATACTTTTTTTCGGCATTCGGATACTTTTAAATTACTTACCACATCGTAACTGATCCAAACCATATTATCTCTATTAAAATATATAATCGAAATACTTTGAGCTACCCTGTATAATTAGAAATAAAATACGTATTTTTCAATATTACAATATTTAAAACACAATTGCAATAGGTACCTACTTAAATAAAAAGTAGTAAAATAATTATTTTATTATGATTTGTAGTTTTGTTTCGTGAACCCTGTAAAATTTAAAATAACGCAAAAAAATCGCCAAGGATGAATTCGACGATTCATCCAGTATACAGACGGTCGGGATTCAGCATCTTGCGGCACGTTTTTACAGGAACAATCCTGCAAACTCTTGCCCGGTGTTAGCGTCATGAACCTGTGGAGGTTCCATTAGCCCAGTTATGTTTCAATTGGCAAAGACAAAAGACTGTTGTTCCTGTGTTTTGTTTTTATATAGTGCAATATAACTAAACTTTCTGTATCAGTTTTAGTGCCTAACTATACGCAACGGTAAGTAGGTGTAGGTACCTCGAATTTTTTGTTTTGTAAAATGTCTAATTACATTATTAGTTTTTAAAATGTAGTCGAGAAAATATATGTATAACGTTGTTGCTCATAATATTACTGATCATGTGTTATTTATGTCGTCATCAACATCAATAATTAAGTATACAGATCTGACAAGATCAAATATACGAGCCTGCTTTTCCTATGCCAGAACCAAACATTCAACAATCTCTCACTCCTCCTCCTTTCGACGCTTTCGAGTCTACCAAGTACCGCTCGTCGGAGGATCCACAAAAAATGGATTATCGAATACATCTGACACTGACGAGAATATCGAAAGGTTGTATAAACATGGCAAATCGCGCCAACAACGAGCTTATTTCGTTAGATTTATATGGACACGACACTGGCTGGATTTTGGCGCGGTTCAGGCGCGACTCGTTTTATTTACACGCACCTTTATGTTTTATTGTTCATTTTGTTTTAATGTTTTATATTCACAGAATAAAAATAATAAACAATTTATTGAGTAGTTTTTTTCTTGTTTCTATTATATCGCTTTCCATTTTCGATAATTTATTTATGCCTAGTATTGTTTATTGTTACTCGTAATCTATTTTATTGCATAATTATAACTATTGGTATGAAAACATTATTTTAACTCACTTTAAAAGTATCCTTTAAAGTATCCGAAAAAAGTATCCGGATACTTGTATCCGAATACTTTTTAGGTGAAAGTATCCTAAAAAGTATCGGGATACATTGTAAGTAGCCGTATCCGGTACTCGGATACTTTTTTCCTGTATCCGACCCAACTCTGGCGCATTTTAAAATAAATATTAACGGGTTTCAGAATGAGCAATGAAATAATTAATTTTTTCTTTTATTTGCACGGCACTGTAAATATAATGACTCACAAATTAAAAAACTCAAAAATAACCTGAAACCTTTCAACCAAAGTACAATTTTTATGTAAAATAATAAAAAAATACATATTTTCAAAATTAAAAATAATCATATTCATCTCATTTTGGTTAATGATTAGGTATGTATCTATTTTTTTGCAAAACCGTTTGTTGGAAAATGTATTGACCAATAGGGTTTCCACCTTCTCATTTCTTAAAACCCGGACCTTTGATTGTGAAATTTCTAACAAAAAAGGTCCTCTGCTTATAATTTTATAAACCAGGTCCTTCTGTCGAGCTTTTCTGCAAAAACAAGTCTTTTCTAAAGTTATCCAGATATTCTCGGACATTTTCATCATGCGACCGGACACCGGACAAATTGTTCAAAACCCGGACACTCCGGGTAACACCGTACAGGTGGCATCCCTATTGACCAAGGATGTGCTGATTCTAGTTAGTCATTTAACATAACACATTTTTTTTACAGTGCCATGGTATTATTATTTAAAACAAAATCTTATCAATCGGCAATCAATTTTCTTTAAAATTTAGTTTCTGCCTTGATTTAACATTAGTATTTTCATATTTTCTTTGATTTGTGAAATACTAGTATGGGAATTTTAAAATAAGAAAAAAAATTGAGATTTTTTTCAGTATAATTGATAAAAAAATAAACAAAATCAAAGCGGTATTGGTTGGAACAGAAAAATGATAATTATATGAAAACATTTTGAATTCAATTTCATTTTTTTTATTTTAACTTATATTTATTTAAATACTGTAGGTTGTGAAAGAAAATTAAAAAACATGGATATGTCCTAAAAATAAAATAGTTTTTCACAATATTATTGATTCATTTTAATGTTACTATGTATTTTTCACAATTATTTTTATTTTTCTTTTTTCTTTAGCTAAGAAAATATAGAATTAGACTAACTAAAAGAGTTAATTAATTCCTAGGTAAAAAATAGAACTTTATATTCTCATATATCGGGTGTTCAAATTAAAGCGTTATAGCTAAGTACCGCCTTTTATAAAAAAAAAACGTTTAAGACGAAAGTTTTATAGTTTTGTGGGGAAAAAATTTTGGCTAAAATCGTTTTTTATAGCTATAACCATAATATGGCCAACTTTTTTTTCGCCCAGCAAAATTTTCAAGTAGCTGTTACTCAAAAGGTAAAAGTCCAATAAAAAAAATATTTCCATCAAAGTTTCTTATTTTTTTATGTACTTTAACAATATGTAAAAAAAATGGGATTCCCATTTAAAAAACAAAGTCCACCTCGATATGGCCATATTATGGTCAGCTATAAAAAATAAATTTAGCCAAAATGTTTCGCCCAAAAAACTATAAAACTTTTGTCTGAAACTTTTTATTCGAAAATGCATATTTTCGGCGGTATTTAACTGTAACACTTTAATTTGAACACCCGGTATATGATCTTTAATGAACTTATTTGATATTTTACATTATTTGTTTAAACTTTATGTCTAAATTATTAAATCCAACACATTGGATTATTTAATTTTTATAATAAGTATCGATGGATCTTAATAATAATAATTATTAATATTATTAAATGATCTTTAATTTTTCTTTTTCTTTTAACAAAAATAAGAATTATTGACCTGATTGAAAAATAGAATTATTTTCCCCCATTATAAATCAATACAACAAAGTATAGGTTTTCCATCTTAATTTATCTAGTTATTATTTTGTTTAAAAAATATATAATTAAATAAAAAAAAGATATAAAAAATATATTCAAAACTCTTAAATAGTAAACGGCTATTATGTAAAATAAAAAATATTTTTAAATTAATTTCTTATTTAAAGAAATATATTTCACGTATGGACAAAATTACATATCTTTTAATTTTTTATTAAATTATGAAAATACTCACTTAATTTTTTCCTTGTTGATCCTGTCAGTTCACTAACAACTTTGGTACTAACGAAGAATAGATGTCCTAGATAGTGTTTTCACTTTCATTCGGATTTGGTAGGGATAACCAATTGAAGGACTCCTTATATTTCATAATGGTCTTGTTTTATTAATTAATGTGAAGCGATTAAGTATTACTTACTTAACACAAAAATCATAACCGGTTCAAAATTACTTAAATATAAATAATTTCGGTTTCTTGAAATTCCCCTTAAATTGGTGTTTTTGACAAATTTGGGTTTTTTTGTATCACGTTTTAGATTTATTGGACGACTGCCTATATTTTCTACTTTTTAATTTATTGCAAACATGTTGAAAAATGAATATCTTGATTAATGTTATATGTTTCTGCAAAATTTTTGTTACAAAATGTTTATCACTTGTAATACAACGCTTGTGTAGGATAGTTATTATAGGATTATGGTAGTTATTTTGAAACAGTAAATTTTGCAGGAAAATTACTATTTAGAAAATTTTAAAATTGTGGTATTTCCATATTTTCCTTGATTTATGAGATACTTTTTTTTTCAGTAAAGAGTTTGAGTTAATTTTACTCTTTCACTTTAAAACAACATCAAAATAATCTAGCATTGAGTAAGCACAGTGCCGGACTTTAATATTATGACTTAATAAGATCACACTTTGTTTGCCTATATTAGGTACCTATAAAAAGAGATAAACAAATTTTATAAAATATTTTTTTTATAAAAGGTATTTTGAGTTTAATAATTCTTTAATATTAAAATTAGTTATTTGTAAATCGAAATAATTATTTTCAATATTCTTGACATAGCGAACACAATTGGTCCATATTACTGGAGATACTCCTGCAACAACTTCTCATATGACATCTAACATATATTTTGAGACAACGTAATAGGGACATTTCTCTTCCTTATCTCCTCCTTCATATTACTCTAAATAAATTCGATAGGATTGAATCCATAATAATATGGTGGAAAGTGAAGTATATAGCAGTTAAGGCTGTCAATTCATGACGTGATAAACGGTTAACCGGTTCGACTGATTTTGACCGGTTTCGGTTTTAACCGGATTTTTACTATTATTATAACGGATCCGTATATCCGGTTAACCGGTCCGATTATCCGGTTAACCGGTCAGATTATCCATTTAACCGGTCCGATCAAACCGAGTCAGTCGAAACGAACCGGTTAGACCGGATTCGGCGGTTTAACCGTAACCGTGACCAGTTAAATCCGTCACTGGTTTATCCGTTACTGGTTTAACTATAACCAGCACCGGCTTAATCGTGGCAAAACACATCCACCAAATCCTTTGTTTTCAATATAAATGGGGTCACTTTACTAACCATTTCACCTTTCCTTACCCGTGACAACCAAGCAGTGCATGCTTGATTTTTTAAAATAGGCACTCACTGAATAAAAATTAAATTAGAATAATAGAAATACTACCAATTTTACTTTTGCTAAACTTTATTTAAAATTTAAAAAAGGACACAGTTACTCACTTCCCACTGGGTGGGTAAGTAAGTAAAACTAAAAAACAAAAAATAAACTATATTCAAGTAAAAAAAAACATTCAAAAATAAATTATAATTAATTGGAACATAAAATAAGAAATAATAACAAATACCTAATAACAAAACTGCCTATTTTTTTATTATTGAGTTTTGATGCAAAAAATCAACTTATCAACGTTTTCCGGCAGCAAGCAGTTTCTTTTCGACAAAACTATGTTTCCTGCACTGGAAAACCCCCGTTCACTGGAAGTTGATGTGGTTTGTACACATAAATACGGTTATACGGTTATAAACCGGTGCCGGTTAAACCGGTTACGGTTAAACCGGTTACGGTTAAACCGGTTACGTTCTTTAACGGTTTTTTGGTCGAACGGAATCGGTTAACCGGTCACGGTTACCAGCCTTAATAGCAGTATCTTCATAATGATAATTTAACTTTTCCCTTGGCAATATAACTAAGCAAAAAAAAACCAACATAAATATATTTTTTATCCATTAAAAAAATGTATGCTTTAGGTGTACTGAAATTGTTTAAAATTCACCTAAAAGTCCATGTTTATTTTTGCTAATAAAAACCATTAGCAAAACACTTAAAACGTGCATTATTTATATGCGTCCATATTCTTGGATGTCCCAGTATGTACCTTACATATATTTCCCAGTATGAACCAGTTTATAAGACTATGAATACTAGAGAGAAAGTGGCGAATCGACAATGGACAAATTTCCGTCCTTCTTTATAAAGTTTGCCAAATTGACTGTAGTTGGCGGGTCGAACGTTAGTGATGTTAATTTTCTATGTAAGTCAATGTGAAATAAATAAAGTGTTTTTTTTTAATTGGTGAAAATAATCAAAATAATGAGAAAAAATGTACCCGACTACAAGTAAAAGAAATACGAGTGACAAAAAACATTAAAGCAAGATTTACTTCGTTCCAGGTTATAAAACGGGATATAAATCAGATACAAAACTACAGAAAACACAAGGAGAAATCAATTCAAAGTAATTTTAAAGCTCCTAGTGTAAATAAAATAATTTATTTATCTCTAAATATATTATTTATTGTAAACTAGTCAAAATCCGTATTTTACAGAGTTTATTTTATTACAAATTTCTATAATATAAAATTTTACAGTCATAAATCCTCACTTACAAACAGCAATAATTACACATTACATTTAACTTACTAGAGAATAAAATTTGTTTTTTTCAGAGTTTTAATGTTAGATGAAGGGTTACTACTATTATTTTTTTGTTGAACCCAAATTTGGTCATTGTAAATGTTTTTTGTTAGGACAATGGCAGCATATCATTTCCAGAGTTGTTAAAGCACTTTCCAGAGATGTTGCTGTCTGCGAGGTACACTTTTTAGAAAACATTTCCAAATTTTTTTTTCTGATGGACTGTTAGCAAAATAAAAAGTGGAAGGTCAGACTTAAAGGATGAGGCAATACCATGTATATTCCCAAATCTCCCTTTATACTTGTATTGTAACAATAAAAAAATCTTTTAACTCTGTTTTATTTGGATATTAAAACTATATTTAGGTATAATTCAAAAAAATTTGGAAAATTGTACTTACCAAATTTCACCATTTTACAAACCATTTCGAATTTGGTCATACCTAATTTGCATTTTAAATAGATAAAATTAAATAATTTATCACTTAAAACATGCCAGACTTATTTAGAAATAAATACAATAATATTTTATGTGCTTTATTTTGCAATAAACAAGTTAATTTTTATTATTTTCACAAAATTCTGGAAAATTCCCATAGGAAGAGATGTATTTTTAACATCCCTAGCAACACCAGCGCCCCTGCGGTGAATTGTAAAAGCTTGATTAACGTTCGTTTTTTGGGAGCCGTGGTCCCAATATTTGAGAAAGAAGAGTGGCGAAGGTGTACGATACATTGTTCTTCATGCGGGTTCTGAAAATGGGTTTATTAATGACTGTAGCTTGATATTTAAAAGTGGTAGTAAATCTGGCGATTATCATAATTCAATGAATGCTGATAATTTTGAAAGATGGCTTGAATATCAGCTTCTACCAAGCTTAGAAGAACCGTCATTAATAATAATGGACAATGCGTCGTACCATTCAACGTTGCTCGAAAGAATACGAAATGCAAGTTGGAACAAAGTTTCTCTGATTAATTGGTTAAAAGAAAGGAATATACAGTTTCCAATTCCTAGTATGAAGTTCGAATTGTTAGAAATTGCCAAGAAACTTGTACCAGATAAAGTATACATGTATGTTATGATATGATATAATTTAATAAGATATTAAAAATGCATTTTTTACAGATTAGATAGATTAGCTCTTTTGCATGGCCATCGTGTGTTGAGACTGCCTCCATATCATTGCCAGTTCAATCCAATTGAACTTGTTTGGTCTGAGTGTAAACGGTATTACGATGCAAAGATAACTTCGGCAGAACGTATTACTGCAGATACTGTAATTAGTGTTTGGAACGAATCTCTTCAACAGGTTTAATGCAAAGTTTTTTCTTATGCTATGGTTTATAATTATTGTTATGTAATTGTAGATTACACCAGAAAAATGGAAGAGGTATGTAGACCATACAAAAAAAATTATTGATGAATATTGGAAGACTGCAAAAATCATTGATGCAAGTAATATCTCTCCTGTAATCATTGATTTAAACGAATCGGATAACGAACCAGATTGGGACTTCTGGGAAGACAACTCCGCATAATAAACGACTATTGTATTGTATTCAAAAATGGCTGTTGTTCTACAAGTTTAACGTTACCAGTTTTGTTAAATTTCAATGATTTCCAAGGTAATTAGTTTATCGAATAAAACTTATGTGATTTTTTAAACAGATCTAATTTTTTATTGTAAGTTTCATCCGGCAAATGATCCTTGTTGTCTTATAATAACTAATGTTAGAAATTTATTTACTAATGTTATATTATTCATGATAATAAATATCAATTAAAAATACATTTTATTTTATTTTGTAATATTTTGATATCACAATTCTTATTAATTTCAAAGCCTTTTTCTATTTGGCTGAATACGATCCTGATAACTGACAAAATTTTGTAGAGTCGCCATCAAATTTCATGTAGTAATCAAAGACATGCCGAAAACATGATATTACGTCATATTTGGTGACGTGCAACTGAAAAGCTATGCAATGAACTATAGTAGTTTTTCGTCATTGCATATAATGCAATTATTGGCATGGTGGTCAGGTCCGGCGTGAGGGGGACAGGGGGGACAAATTCCTGGGGCCCGGGCACAAGGGGGTCCCGGCAGCTTTACGTGAGGACCACAAACCATTTATGTATTGTTTATAGTTGAGTTTCCAATCTCAATTCGATCTTATCGAGAATCGATCTTTTGTTTCACGATTTTGATTTTTTTAGGGTCGATTTTTCAAAAGAGAGATCGATCTATACAGGGTTTATCTAAATAACACTGAAAAAATTAAAGGGGTGATTCTGTGATGAAAATTAATGTGAGTGTTTGGTATAACATTTTTTGAAAAAACCCTCCCCGGAAAAGTTACACCCCTTCGAAAATTAAAAAAAAATGGTTTTTCTTTTTTATTTTCCCTGTATATCAAGCTAAAGACACGAAACTTGGTAAACATTATCTGTCAATAAAAGTACACTTTTTGGAATTTTTCAACCCTGAAGTATGCTTAGAAGGGGTTGAAATAATCAACCCCTAAGATATTTTTTCTTGCAACTTTTTTTTAGATGAAAATTTTTTCTTTAAAAAAGTATGACTGAAAAGCCCAATTCATTGACTAACTTTTTATCCCTACAAGTTTTTTTCAAAAACTTTAGAATTTATGAGAAAAAAATAAATAAGCTCATGTAAAATAGCATTTTATTAAACAACAGCCAACCAAATTATGATTCTTAAGACTTCTACAACTAAAAACAAAAGTGAACAAACAATGAACAAAAACCTGTCGAATATCGACAGTACAATTATAATAAATGTTGAAAATGACCGCCTTCAGCTTCAATACAAGCATCTACCCTTTTCCTCATAGAATTGCGTATACGATGAAATATTCCTGGAGAATTTCTTATAGTTTCACACCCTGCTACAATGCGGTTTCGCAGATCATCGATATTTTCAACTGGGTTTGTGCATATCAAAGATTTTAGATATCCCCATATGCAAAAATCCAAAGGATTAAGGTCAGGGGAGCGGGCTGGCCAGTTTACAGGTCCTCCTCGACCTATCCATTGATTGGCATACACCTCATCCAGGTGAGTTCTTGCACGTATACTAAAATGAGCTGGTGCACCATCGTGCATAAACCATAAATGTTGCCTAATTTGAATGGGAACCTCTTCAAGAAGAACAGGTAATTCTTCAAGGAGATGACAATATGCTTCACCATTTAATCGTAGCGGAATAAAATGGGGACCAATTAAATGATTATCAATAATTCCGAGCCACACGTTTAATGAAAATTGATACTGATGATTTCCTTCAAAAAAGCCATGAGGATTTTCGTCAGCCCAAAGGTGATTGTTGTGAAAATTTCTAATACAGTCTCTTGAGAAACTCGCCTCGTCAGTAAATAAAATATTACCTAAGAACTGTGGTGCTTGGCCAATCATATTAATAAGCCACTGACAAAAAATCACACGGGGTAAAAAATCTCGAATCATTAACACCTGCACCCGTTGAAGATGATAGGGATACAACATTTGTTCTTTTAAAATTTTATAAACAACGGAATGGCTTACATGTAGGACACGAGCTATTCTCCTGGTACTAGTTTCTGGGAATTCTTCAATTGAATTAAGTACGGCTTCTTCTACAGCTGCAGTTCTAACTTCTCTAGTACGACCAGAATCATAACTTCTTTTTTCAAAATTACCACGTTCCCGCAAGCGTCGGTGAATAGTTGTGAACGTAGTATGATGGGGTAGTCTACGATGTGGGTACTGTTCAGCATAAAGTCTTTGCGCTTCCAATGAATTACCGTTAGCACGACCGTATGTAAAATGCATATCTGCCATTTCCAAATTCGAATATGCATTCATATTTTCAATCAACTAATATTTCCTACAATACACAATCATAAAACTTGTGAAACAATAAGATGGGTAACAGAAAATGACACTATACAATCCTGGTATCAGTATTAATGTTTTTATGCAAAGCACAGGCCACTAGACTTGACGCAAAATACACTCGCGTTAGCTCATCTTTTTGAAAATGCATTGCATTAGATTTTTTTTCTCGTAAATGCTCAAGTTTTAGAAAAAACTTGTAGAGTTAAAAAAGTTAGTCAATGAATTGGGCTTTTCAGTCATACTTTTTTAAAGATAATGTTTACCAAGTTTCGTGTCTTTAGCTTGATATACAGGGAAAATAAAAAAGAAAAACCATTATTTTTTTTAATTTTCGAAGGGGTGTAACTTTTCCGGGGAGGGTTTTTTCAAAAAATTTTATACCAAACACTCACATTAATTTTCATCGCCGAATCATCCCTTTAATTTTTTCGGTGTTATTTAGATATATCGGTGGAAAGGACTGAGATCGGAGATCTATTCTAGCCCACCTCTTAAACTATTATCATGTACTTTTTTGGTAAAGATCGATTCTAGCCCACCTCTTACATTAGGTCCTTTCGTTCGCTGTTGGCGCAGTGTCCACCAGTGTAAATTACACCTTATTTACCCTAGTTTATTTTCTTCGTTTTCTTTATACACATGTCGAGTGTAATTCAGTCCTGCTAAATAGCTGGTGGAGAAATTTCCACCAGTGGACACCATATCGCCGACAGGAAGGTATAATGGGTTTTACACCGGGCTAAACGAAAGGTTTAGTGTCCGTTGGTGTAGTTCATTCCTACACCAGTGGGACGAACGAAAGAACATATTATGTCTATGTACTTTTTGGGTACCTATTTTTATTCTCGGAAAGCGAAAAAAGTTACCTGAATGAACCTCTTTCGAATTTAAAGACAACAGATCCAATTAAATATTAGCATACAATGGGATCTATTCTGTAACACATCCGTTACAATTTAGAGGCCTTTAAAAATTAAACTTTTAACGGCCCGTTAATTTTTTTAACCAAAAATAGTATTCTGTGTACACAAATTTTAGAGGCCTGGTAAAAATTATTTATTTTAACGGATTCCCTTAAAAATGGCAGGAAAACACTTGACAACATCGCATAAAAGATTTATTTAAACTAGTTTGAAAACATAACCATACAAATCCTCAATTTTCAATTCAAAACCGTTAAAAATTAAAGGCGAATTTTAACATCCCTTTAAAAATGATTGTTATTTGAGGACTATTTTAAAGGAATCCGTTTAAATAATGACAGAAGTAAGTTAGTGAATACGAAAATATTTTTAAAGGCCGCCAATATTTTAACGACCGTTAAAATATAAAGGTATAAAGGAATTGTTACAGAATAGACCCCATAGCCAAATTATTTTCAAGAATTTAAGCAAAGTTGCTCAAAAGTCTTTATGTGTGTTGGGAACATCAATTCCATCTGAGAGACTATTTTCTCGAACAGGAAATCTTATGACTCCTGATAGAAATGGTGGAAAAATGTCAAACAAACTTTTGAATCTCAGAATTTGAATATTAACACTTTCTAAATATTCTAATTTTAAAATTCAAAACTTTAAAAAATATGTTTATTTTTAAAATAAAGATTAAATTTTTTGTTTATTTTTTTTATTGTTTTAATTTAATTTTATATTTTACATAGAATGAATCGATCTTTACGAGATCAATATTTTTTTATCTCGATTTTTCTTGTATCGATCTTTGGCTCCACCATTTGAATCGATACTAAGAATAAATAAAAATTATTGAATTTTAAAAAATATTAGTTCACAATGTAACAATTACATCACATTACGATGTGATAGTCATTTTCTTATACCTAATTATTGCTTATTACAATAGGTAAATAATTTGACTAAGTCACTATATTTTCTACATTTGAAACAATATAAATTAAACCACAGTTATTTCTTCTGCAGGAATTTTTGACCAGAATACAAACCCATCTTTGGCTATTGTGACGCTAAAATAAGAATATTTTATTTTAAATTATATCTACACATTTTGTAAAAAAACTTACTATATAGTATATTTTCCTGGATTTTTTGGGGATTTCCATATCACAGTTTTATTCTTTTTATTTGCATTATTCTGATGCGAAAGAACATTCTAAAAAAAATAAAAATAAATTATTTTCAGTACGGATAAAGTCAAGGAAATGTTAATATTACACAAGTTAAATATAAGCTTTAAACACCTCTTGTTCTTAACCTCCATCTTTTATAATAACGGACACAATATGTTCTTATGTAACATAATTAAATTGTTTAATGGTCAGTTTACTGCAGATTTCGATCCAAGGTTCTAGGAATTCGCTAGTTCTGATAAAATTTATCTTTCTATCAACTAAATATCAATTTTAATTTTTGCGTTTTTTATTTTAGTTAGATAATTATAAATCAAAGTAATCCACATTAATATCTCTTATAGTTTACAGGAGAAAGGAGTGTAGTAATTTAATTTGCAGAACATTGTACAGTAGGCTAGACCGAAATAGGCATATTTTTAAAGAGGTTTTTTGTGAATTAAAAAATCCAAGAAAAAGAAAAAACATTGGAAGCATCTATGGATGTTTGCCAGTTGGTTTATTAATGTTCGAGCCAAAGAAAACAAAAGACCCATGAAGAAATTGATGGCACCAGGCATTGTATAAAGAACAAGTTCTTTATACAATGCCTTAGGTTTGAAAATTGGTTTCAGAAAGTGATTTGGGCACAATTAATAAACCTCAGAAAACACAATAATGACACCAGTAGTTATAGTGAAGACAGTGACTTTTAAAGATAGTTCTTGAACTTTTTATTTTTTTTTTAATCATTGATTTTAGGTACTGAAGTGTAACTTTTAATATCAGATTAAAAAAAGTTTAATACCAATTTTAAGAGGGGTGAGTGGCTCAGTGGTAGAGTCTCTGCCTGTGGATCCAAGGGTCCCAGGTTCGAATCCCACCGTTGGCCGGAATTTTTTCATTTAATTTAATTATTTAAAATTAATTCTGATGCCTTGGTAGGATTCCCCACTCGACCATTCACTGTTGGATTCTAAGTAACAGTGCTGTTCCTAAAGTGGCGCTGGGAAACAGTAACAAAGCCTACACAGAACACGAGGCGAAATAACCTTAGCAGTTGAAGCCGATGACACATCAAAAAAAAATTCCAATTTTATCTTTTATTTTGATGGTATATTATTCTTTTCGTCTCTTTATTTTTATAAACTTAATAATTTAGTATTATTCTTAAAAATTAAACCACAGTTAATAATAATAACAATAATAAATTACATATGTTTATGAATCATATAAATAAAATAATTTGATTCTTCATAAAAAAGAGGTACCATAAAAATATAATATAATATGACAAAAATAACATATATTATTAAATAAAGTGGTGCGAAGCGATAAGTATTAAATACTTGTGTCGCTTTATTAGAAAATTTAGATAATAACAATACCAATACAGTTCATACAATTATTATTTTATAATGAAAAAAAAAAAAACAGAATAAATGAGCAGAGGAAGCAACACTGAGTACCAGACATCCAGAAAATGAGAAACTAAGGATAAACTTGACAGCTTCTCAGGCACTGTATGTCAGATAGTTAAGCATGCTTCGTCATGTATGATTTTTTCTTTTCATTTTTCATGACAAAAAGAAAAAACAAGTAAAAATGTTATAACCTAGAAAATATTTCCGCACCTTTTAGCTGAACAATACATTTCAAAAGCAAGTGATAGTTTTAGGGTAAGTATATGAATATTCAATTTTATTATAGAATTTTAGTTTATTTCATCTTAGTTTATTTTATTTTATTTTATTTTTATTTTAATTGCTACCGATTATATCTATAGTTTCCTTTAAAATCCATTTCGCAATAATAGTTTTAAAGTTTTTGTAATCAATTTTTGATTTCAGTTCTTGAGGCAGTGAATTATAAACTTCTAATCCGACGTATAAATAACTGCGTTGCGAGAGGGTTGTTCTATATTTCGGTATTGTTTAGATAAAATCTTGTGTGAATCAAATATTGTTTATAATACAATTTTCTTATAGTTAAGATGTTACTTTATGTGAAAGTGCTTCAGTGGGAAATCGTAGATTTAAGGGTTGTAAAGTAGTAGTGTAAGCTCCTCCCCATCCAATTATCCCGTAATTATTTATAGATTGAACTAGGGCGTAGTAAAGTGAAATAAGTTCTCGTTCACTAAGTATTTTTGAGGTTAACTTAAACATATAATAGTGATCTCATTGTTTTCACCAGATTATTAATAGATATGTGTATTCCATTATAGGTTGGAGTCTATGGTTACTCCTAAATATTTATAATAATGTTTATTTTGCCAGAAAACATTTACAGGTTTTACAATATTTTTGTTTTTTGGTTACTACATATTAAAATATTTAGTATAATAATGTTTATTTTTCATTTCTCATTGTTCTGTATGTGTACCATGTAAATACAAGATATAGTTTAAAGCTTAATTAACAAATAATAAGAATCTTAAATTAATACCATGATAGGACAATATAGTTAATTAAATGTGTACCTAAAGGTTTACAAACATAAAATAAACAGGAATCCCTAAGAAACCTTAGCGGTTGTGTAAGGGATATAATATAAGATGTAAAATTAATATTTAAATATAAAATACAAACCCAATGTAATTTAGTTATTTATCATATGGTGGATAAGATGTCTGTCTGTTAAATAAATATATTTCTTAAGATATTTTTTGAATAAATTTAGACTATTTATCGTCAGAAAATAGGTTTTATAAATTTCAGGTAGGTTGTTAAAAAATTTAGCTGAAAGGTAAGTATAACATTTCATTCCTATGGTTTTTCTTACTGAAATTGTAGCGACATAATTATTGCGTTTTTGACGTGTATCATAAGAATGAGCTATATTTTGTAGGAGACTTATTTTTATAGGTGTATATGATAACATTAAAGTAAAACAACTGCCTGATATCAAATACATTACTTTCTTGAAAAATTAAATCTGACGAGTATATCCATGGTTTTTTGTAGATTATTTTTAAGATCTTCTTTTGTAAGACTTCTAATCTACGCAGGTGGATATTCGAGCAACCCCCCCAACATAAAATACAATATTGAAGTCGTGATTCGATGAATGCATGATATAATATTTTTAATTGTTTTAACGGTAGTAAATTACTAAAATATTTAAATTTATACATCATAACTCTTAAAGTTTTTGTTACTTGCAGGATGTGGTGGTCCCATCTCAAATGTGAGTCTACAGTTATTCCTAAGATAACACAGGTAAAGACCAGGATGTACTACAGAATGGTAATGTTCTATTTTTAAAGGATTTAAATTCGCTAAGACATTTTTAAAATTGTAGAATGGTAGATACACAGTCTTGTCTAAATTAATTGTTAAAAGATTTTCATCAAACCAATGTGTGATTTTTTGTAAATTTTGTTATTTTCCCTTTCAAAGCATTTTGAACAATGTTTGCTATGTTTGATATTAAACTAATCGGTCTATAGTTTTTCTCTCTATTTTTTTCACCTTTTTTATGTACAGGGTGTCCCGAAATTGGACGGTCATATTTTAACAGCATTATCTACATCCTAAAATAGGAGTAAAAGTTCATATAAACATAGGTCCGAAAACGTTTCTTTTTCAAGATACAGGGTGTTAAAAGTAAAGTCCTGATGACACTCTTTTGTAAATATTTTCTAAACATTTAAAGATAGCTAAGTGAAATTTGGTACAAATGCTAACCTTTTTACGCTCTATCTAATGTACTAAACCCCAGTTTTTGATCATCTTCATAGGTGGGTAAATTAGGGGAGGCTTAGGGTAAAATTGCCCTAAGTTTTTTTTGTTGACAGTTTTTACCATTTTTGACTATACAATTTGGAAAACCAATGTTTTTTTTACAATAAAGTTACTTTTGTTGCTTTTGTCGCTAGGACGTACCATTTTCAAGAAAAAAGCATTTGAAAATTTCATGATAAGTTATTTGAAAGTGTAAACAATAATTAGTAGGCTTGTGAAATCAAAAATTTTATTTTTTTTAACTTTGGAAAACCGGTGACTAAAGAAATTTTAAAAAATATTTACAAAAAATGCCATCAGGACTTCACTTGTAACACCCTGTATCTCGAAAACAGAACGTTTTCGGACCTATGTTTATATGAACTTTTATTCCTATTTTAGGATGTAGATTACGCTGTTAAAATATGACCGTCTAATTTCGGGACACCCTGTATAGGTTTAACGACAGCTACCTTAAACGCTAGATTAATTAAGTATGCTAATGGATGACTTATTTGATCTTTTATTTCTTTCAATAGTTTTACCGTTATTCCGTCTATTCCTGGTGATGTATTTGCTTTTAACGACAATATAACATCCTTAATTTCTTCCCGAGATATTGGATTTAAGAAAATTGTTTTATCGTTACAAGTTGGATCATAGTCCGTAAAAGACTGGCTTTAATTTACAAGTATATTTTCCGCCAAAATTTTACCAACTTGAATGTAATATTTATTAAAAATTTCGCTAATTTTGTTTTTGTCCTTTTCAGGGTTACCTGCCCCATCAATGACTTCTGCAATACATGTGGATGGACTGTTACAATTTTTATTTGTTTCCCATATTTTTTTTGTTTTTTTGATTGTTTAATATTATATGTTTGTAATAATCTTGCTTTATTTGATTAATTAAATTATTAATTTTATTTCTATGTGTTTTATATTATGCCGTCAGATATCTAGGGTTTTTTTGGTTTAATTTTCAACTTAATAGATGTCGTACCTTTGCTTATGTGGAAATTAAGAACGTTCGTTGACTCATTGGTTGCTGTGTCGACATTAATGGTATTTAATACAGTAGCAAAAGATTCGCATTTTAAACTATTTTTAATTTTTTCGTAATTTTTTGTAACGTACCTAGATTTATTTTTTTCTGTATTATTTTTTCAATTATGTTTATTTTGAAGAATTATCGGATTGTGATCCGTGATTTTTGAATGCAACACCATTGGTTTTAGTTTTTTGGATTCTAAATGGGTAGTTTTATAAATAAGTGATCTAAACAAGTTTTAGAGTTTTTTTCGATTCTTATAAATTTATTTATTGTAGAGATAAAACCAAATTCATATAGAATATTTAAATAATCGTTAGACTCTTCACTAGAAGTTAGGATATCAATGTTTATATCCCCTACTATTATTTCTGTTTCTTCTAAGTGGGTGTTTTGTAAATATTGACCAAGAGAATTTATGAAATCAGTTACATTGACAACATGAGGTCTATAATTGGCCAATATTCCTATATGCCTTGTTCCTAGGTCTAAAACTGTTAGCAGGCATTTCATACCAGCAATAATAGTCTCACTTTTAAAGTTGAAACTATCTTTTATATAAATTATTACCCCATCAGTTATGTTAATATTGCTTTCACTGTAAATTGTTGTATTTGTCATTTGATAAAAGCAAAAATAAAAAGTGATTCAATGAATTAGTTTACATATTTAATGAGAAGGAATAAAACCTAATGCCAGTTCTACCAGTTTGTCAGAAAAAGAATAATTTAGTAATTAATAAGAAAAATATTTTAATTTAGACTAATTCTTTTAATTCTAAATAATTGCAACCATCACACTGCCCTTGCCTTTTATATAAACCTTCATTTACGATGTGATTATAATACCTTGAAATAAATATTTATTATAATAAATAACAATTACTGATACAGCTTTTTTACACTAATGAGAAATAGCGAATGTTTTATGATATAAATAAATAAATAGTTTATAATGAAAAGGTTAATGTTTGACGTAAACATTTACTTTATTCTTTTCTATTATCGATGTCAATTAATATACTGCAGTCAACTTTATGGAGGTATGACACTTATAAACAAAAATAACTTGACTAGTTCTTGTAAATTTTTTCCTACGACCCCCTTTTTTCGAAGATATGGTTCCATAATGGACACCCCTGAAAACTTTTTTATTTCAAAATTTTCAGACTCCTTAGTATAATTTAATAATTTTTAAATAAGATAGATACTAGATAAGTCTCCGGAAAATGGAGCAATTTAAAACTATAATAGATATAAAACCAGACATAAGAATATTTGTATTCAAGTGAAAAGAAAAAATTAGTCTTTTCAAGATTTTGATATATCGCGGTCAACAATCAATCTAAAATAACTCCAAATTATTAAAAAAAAATATTTTCAGGGGTGTCCATTATGGGACCATATTTCTGAAAAGGGAGGTCGAAGGAAAAAAAATTATAGGAATTTGTCATGTTATTTTTGTGTTCTATCTGAATCCGGAAGATCGCCCACGTATTTTGGGACACCCTGTACAGTCTAGGGCCAATAAACCGTCCAAAAATTTCATTTTGTTGGAAGGGGGATCAAGGCTCACTCACCACTTTTTCAACGATATCTTAAAAATTTATATGACTGTGAGTAAATACGTGTGAAGGATTAACAATTTCCTTTCTCTTTTTGTCGAGTTTTACCTTTTTTAGTAGACTTTCACCCAGTACCGATACACATTGTCCTGATACAACTAATACAACATAAGTTGTCCAGCTCTATCTGACAAACCAATGGACGAACTTTGTTATAATATAGAAATCAAAGAACACTTTAAAATATGATCAAAATATAAATCAAAATGTAGATCAAAATGCAGACGATCAAAATCCGAGAATACCTCTGGGATCAAAATGTAGAAGATCAAAGAACTGAAACAATTAATGCAAATGAAGATACCAATAATTCTAAAAGAGAAATAAGATGTAAAAAGAATTGGAAATAGGCGAAAATCAGAGGTAGGTTAATAAATAAGAAGAAATGAATGGAAGGAAACAATACCTAGGGTTGTGAAAACCGAGAGACCAAAGAAATACCTTTAATGACAATATAAAAGTCCTGAGACCTCTTACATCTGGATGTGAATGTGGACAAGAAAAAATGTGTATCTGTTACTGAAGAAAACAGAAAAATAATATTTTGTCCACTTCCAATACTGAAAATATATCATATCTAGTATATCCTATTATATTCACACAAGAAATATATTCACATATTATATTTATATCACAAACGATTCAATAAATTCCATTTACTTACATTTTTACCTCCGTGACAATTTATAGTTTTAAAATCGTTTTCGTCTTCATCGAGTAAAAATTTTCCTGTTGCTCTATTCCCTTTTCTCACCTCCATCATCAGTCCCTTAAATCTACCTCCTCCAATTTCTATTTGAACTGCTTCTCCTCCTTTGATCTCAGTATTATTGGCGCCAACTATATATGGAAGTTTGGACCTTTGTGGTGGAACCAAATGGATTGGCATCATGTCATCGCATACCAGTTCTGGAGCACCACCAGAAAAGGCGTAACATTTGCAAGTTATGGACAGTAAAGTGAGGAGAAGAAGAAGAAGCTTGTTGTTCATTCTAAACGGTTATAAAAAAAAATAAAAATCATTAATGTGAGAAAGGTAATTGGTGATAGATAAAGGGTATGACCATTTTTTAAATTTGGATTTGGTGGTTTTATTAGTGAGGCGCCCTATCTATGGAGCCCCAATTCGCGATTAAAGCTAAAGTGATTCGCCCTCTGGAGGAAATCTGGGTAGGACTTTTTACATTGTTGCCAGGAATGGCAGAATTTCACTACATCATCGGTTTTTTAGCCTTTGAAGAAGTGAAAAGACTTTTAAGAAGCCAAATTTTATATATAACAATAGCAATTTAATAAAAAAAAAATATTAAAAATGAATTTAGGAAATGAATTTAAGAATGGTAATAAAAGTATGAGGTAGTAATCATAATGCAATGCAATGCCTTCATTGATTAGCTAATAAACTAAATTTTAAGAATTTTTAAGATGTTTCAAAGAATGCGTCCTTATTTTTAATGGAACAGTATTGTAAATGTTTACACCATTGTAAGTAAAACAACCTTGAAACATGGTAAGATTGAATCTGGGTAGTGTTATAGTATTTGGATATCTTAAGTTTACATTATGTACATCTCCTCGATATAGTAATTTTTCCTTTAAATACGCAGGTTGAAAAGTCGACAAAATGCGAAAGATTAAAGCAGATATTTGTAATTTAAATGACTGTCGGAGAGATTGCGTTAGCTTTGGACTCCGACAACTCAAGGGAAGGAGGAACTGCGAAAGCAGAGGACTCTAACCTCTTAGTGGGAGGAGGATCTGTGAAAACAGACGACGGCTCCCAAACAAAAGAAACGGGGAAAAAGCAGAAGTTAAGCCTGCTGATAGACCGAAAAAACCTTCAGGAACGGAGAGGAAGAAGCTTCTGAAGGAAAGGAAAATGGCTGCAGGAATGTGGACGGAGGAAAATCCCCACAAGAATGCAGCGGAGGGAGGACCAAACGAAGAAAGGGGATAAAAGGCCCCATTCTGAGTCGCAGACTCCCCCTACCCGAAGTGGAACTAAGCGGGCCAGAAACAGCGACACGTTGAGGGGTATCCAACTGGCTATCATTCAGAGAAGGCATCCAGATACAACCCTAGACCAAGCACAAGGAGACTTGGTACAAGAAACTCTTGTGGAGAGGCTCTACGCTGACCCTTCAGGGAAATAACCACGTTCTAAACAACAATTTACGATATGTGTCAGAAAAGGAGCGATTACATTTAGATAAAGTTGTAGCATTTTAGCGGATATACATCACTACCAACTGCATTTGATTTGAGATTTATAACAATTTGTTTTATTCCGACAACAGTAGCAAGAAGAAAAGAAAAACGTATATCAGGTTTAAATTTAAATGAGTTATAATCATGAGTGGTTAATGGACAGGCATTTTTAGGGGTAAAAATGAATTCGTAACGCCGAAAAAATGTATCTCCCCTACTTTTTAAAACTTTTTTTCCTTGTTTCTGACCACGATAACTCTTAACGAAAGCGCCGATCGACTTGGGGTTTTTACTTTACATTATAATTTGTTTAAGCAAAGTTATCATAATTTTTCATTTAACCTTAGTGCTTTAAGTTTTAGTGTGCAGTGCATTTAGTAAGAAACTTATTTTTTGCACTGCGACACAGATACTGATTACACTAGATAGCCATGCTTGTCACTTTGAAACCATATTTTTATTTTTTCTGTATTGCTGTCAATCTTAAACGTCATATAAATTAATTAATCTTTTTTAAACGTCTTTTAAGACTATTTAGTTGAAATAAATGTGGATCTTATGCGAATAACAAGGATGGTGAACTTAAAAGATTGTTATTTGCACGAGTTTTAACGAATTCCAAAATGAGATTTGATATTAAGAAGAAAAAGGTGAAGTTTCCAAATATTACTTTAATTTAAGCAAGATTAAGAAGTACAGATCCCAAATGTTAAGGGACAAACTTAAAGGATAAAGTATCAAATACTGTTACAAGAGAGGTCACGAAGATACGGGTAAACACTTCATAATTGTACCTCTGGGACTAGCGATGGATTTATTGAAGATGCGAGTGTGGACTGTAGACCATCTTGAGTCTCTAGATGGATAACGAATCTATAAAAAATGGTTTCTCTAAAAACTAAAAGCAATACTTTTCACCACAGTTCTTTAAGAGAGAAAAATTGCTCCAACAATATTTTGACAGAGACGCTTTGGTTGAAACTTGTACCTCTGGCGCCACCACTGATCATGCTATACTGTTAGTTCTGACATATACGTCATAATCGATGAATTGGCTTATAGTCCGATAAAGTAGAACCAGCCTATTTCTTTTTCAGCAAATTTTTTTGAATAATTATCTTATTTCTAACGTTAACACTATTTATAATTTTAAAAATATTTTTCTTTTAAACTAAAGGTACTTTAATAATTATATCAGAAAATGTTATTAGAATTATGAATATTATAGAATGCGGCCTAATTAAATACAATTGACAGTCTTGCATCAGAATATCTTGAAAACTTACCTTGTTTCAATCACACCAAAGCAATATCCACTTTGTAACTAGTAGAGAAGAAAAGTTTGATCTAATTATTAGAATATAAGTCACGGTCATCTGGAACTGATATGTGGGGATACAAGAAATGGGGCCCAATGTAGGTCAATTCGATTCAAATCCGCAATTATCTATTGTTAATTGTTTGTACCTATTAATTATTATTCATCACAAACATATATTATTATAATAATCTTCACATTCCATACATACCTAATCTGATTTATTACAGAACCTGTGTTATCCCCGTATATTTTTTAATGCTCCGAAAGCCAGTCCTTTTAGCTAACTGGCAATATAAAGTTTTTTGAAATTGATGAAGAAATGACTGAACAATTAAATTTTCTGAAAAAGCCTGCAAAATCAATAATTAACAATAACTCTCTACCAATAATTTTATAGTAGGTGAAGGATTTCCATGAGTTGAATCCCCATAAATATTAAATACGGCCCTAAGGCACGCTTACCAAAATGGACTGTCTCCTGAAGCCGCTGGCTGCAACCATCTCCATGTGGAATAAAAGCTCAACAATTTTGTAAAATAACACTTTATTGTGCACAAACGCTGCACGTAAACTTTGTACATATTTACATTTTGTTTTTTATTACTGACTACTGCTTACATAAGTACTAGGACTTTACAACATCGTTGCTCAAAGAATTTTTTATTATGTGTATGTGAGAGCCGATCCGTTATGTTAGGAAGCTCCGACGAGTTTCGCGCGCGAGATACCTGAGTTTGGTCACGTACGCCTGCAAATGGCCGTTATAAATTAACACCTGGCTTTTGTGAGCACAGGACCGTCTTTTGTATGTTTCAAAATTCTTTATTTTGGAACAGTAGGCTTTGGTACGTTTGTAAGAAATTGTTGTTTTAACTGTTCTAAAAGCTTAGACTTAGGTTTCAAGTGATTCTTTTTACATTAAAATGTTATTTTCTGAAACAGAAAAGGCAAGTATCATAATTAATTTTGCTGAAACAAAATCTATTATGCGAACAAGACGAAGATTTTTTTAGAGAATTTAATAAAACAGCATCAACATACCAGACAATAATGAAGTGGTTTAACATTTTCAAAAATAATGGATCACTAGCCCGAAAAAAAACGAAATATAATAATAATAATAATAATAATAATAATAATAATAATAATAATAATAATAATAATAATAATAATAATAATAATAATAATAATAATAATAATAATAATAATAATAATAATAATAATAATAATAATAATAATAATAATAATAATAATAATAATAATAACGCAGTGATAATCTTTTACATGATACCATTGGTGTATACGAGTTTGTTACAAGATCTCCCAAGTCATCTATCAGAAAAATAGCGTCACATTTTAATATGAGTACTGCAGGGCCGGCCCTAGACATTTTGGCGCTCAGGGCAAAACCTTAATTTTGGCCATATCAGAAAGTCAAGAAAACATTGAAAAATAGAAATAAAAAAAAACCATTTTATTAAAAATTCAATCATCAGATAACAAGAAAAGCAATTTAGCACTTAAGGCAAAATAACAAAAATTAAAATGTAGTAATACTAACTAAACTAATATCCCATATTATAAATAAATTCTAACTAACCAAAGTAATTAAAATGCTCTTTTTCTAACTTTTCTTTCGGCAAACACACGAACCAGTGATTTCAAGTCTAATTTGTCACTAATTTGGTATTCTATAGCTATCATTGCCAATCCATTGAGACGATTTTGCGTCTGCATCGTTCTGAGATAATTTTTTATTATTTTTAGTTTTGAAAAGCTTCTTTCCCCTGAAGCCACAGTGACTGGTAATGTAAGTAGGATTCTTAATGCTATGCTGAGGTTTGGTGCGAATTTAAGTGTAGCGATAAACTTGAGAACCTCAACAGGGATTTCCTTTTTTGTTAATAATGACGAAACAATGCTTATTTCATCGGCTAGTTCCAGGGCGTTAAGATCACTTGAGCCAGTAACTCATTTCTGGGCATGTCTTTTAGAACAAAAATATTATACAAAAAGCTGAAATAATTACTGTGAGTATTTAGCAAATTATGTCTGGTTTCCAAGGCATTTATTGCTTGATCTATAGCGTGAAAAAAAAATCTATTTTAAATTTTTGTTTGAGGTCTTGAACGGGTTCATCCGGGCCCTCATACAAAAACGTTCTTGTTTTGCTTCTGACACGATGACGTGGTGTGGTGGTTTCGAAATTAGCTTCCACGTCAATCTCTGAAGCAAGCTCGGTTGCTTCTAAAATGATGCTTTCAAAAGCTTCATCTGATCTCAGGTTTTCAAAGAAGAGTTTGCAGTTGCTAAGCATATCAATAGCTTGTGACATATTAAAATTTACAGTTTGCTGATGGGGTTAATATGACTCAAAATTTTGTACCTGCTTCAAATTATTTAATAATCCGCTAGCCTCATCTCTGATCATATTATCGATTTCTGAATCTTCATATATGCTCTACAAAGCATCGTGAATTGGACCAATTTGAAACCGCAGAGCTTTTAATGAGTCGACTCGACTTTCCCATCGCGTAGCACTCAATGATTTTAGGGTGTAAGTATCAATATATTTCAGTAATATTGCCCAACGAAAAGAAGAGGAAGATAAAAATGTATATAACTTTTGAACAATATTGAAGAAGTTGGCTGCCTCAGATGAGGATTTTGCCATATCGTTTACAACCAAATTTAGCGAATGGCTGCTGCATGGAACATAAAATGCTCTGGGGTTTATATTTCTGATCCTTGTTTGTACTCCTGATTTTTCTCCTCTCATATTGGAACCATTGTCATACCCTTGACCGCGCATGTTTTCTACTTTAAGCCTATTTTTCTCTAGCTCTTCTAGTAAAACCTCCGACAATTCCTTAGCTGTTGATCTCTCAATGGGTAAAAAACCCAAAAAATGTTCGTTGATATTAACTTGAACTTCAGATTCTGATTCCTGTATGGAGACAAATCTTACCACAAATGTCATCTGTTCTACTTTACTTGCATCGGAAGTACAGTCAAGAATCACGGAATAATACTTGGCCTTTTGAACTTGCTCAATGATGTGGTACTTTATGTTGTCATGCAATAATTCAATTATTTCATTTTGTATAGTTTTCCCTAGATATGTAGCTTTGATTTCTTCTTTATTGAGGACTCTGCGAACGTGTTCCTCCATTTTTGGATCAAACTTAGCCAATAACAAAATTAACTTCAAAAAGTTTCCATTATTGTGTTCATACAGTTTATCGCTTGTTCCTCGAAAAGCTATAGAGCTCTCACCTAGCATTTTAACGACTGATATAATGCGTAAAAGAACTTCAGACCAGTGATATTTATCTCAGAATCAATGAGTCTCTGAGAAACTGCATCTATTGTTTCACCTATTTTCAATCTTTGCTTCAATTCAAGCCATGATTTCAAACAATCTATATGAGTTTTAGCATTTTCATGATGTGCTAAAGAGTCCCCTAAAAGCTTCCAGTCTTTAAATCCCCGATATTATGTATGTTTAGCGATAATTCTTTACCACCTTGTCCGATTTATATGATTCTTTTTTTGTTAGTAAGGGGATACCTCAGGGGTGGTCCCATATAAATTTGGTTAAGATGTGGTGACGGCATCTGCACGTTTTTGAAGTCGGTTTTTTTAAATTTTTAATTTCTAATCCTTGTTCATATAGCATTACTTACAAACTATACACGTCAATACGGCCGCCTATTATCACGTTTAGTATATTTAAAAGTGTATAGAGAAGTTGTTTATTACTTTTAAACTTGCAAACTTCGTAAGTGAGACGAGGAACCATTTTAAATGCCAACTGTCAAAACTAATGAACAGTCTGTCATTTGCCGCGTTTGAAAATACACATCGGATGCATTTTTTACATCTCGAGCGTTTTTTTATCCACATCGGAAACATCTGTCCCATTAAATTTACGTATACTGACTGAATCACGTGATCAAAGATTTACTACATCTCAGGTGCATCCGATGTGGATTCTCAAACGCGGCAATTGGATCACAAAGCACCGTGCTTTGTGAATTGGATGATTATACGGTAGGCGCGTTCGGTTATTACTCTGCAAGCAAATAAAATATTATGAGGTATATTCCTTTTCATCTAAAATATCGTTCCATCCATGCAATTCGTATAAATGGAACGATATTATCATAAGTAGTCTAGCTCAGTGCTACACTTTCAATGCAAAGAAATAGATTGCATCACGAGTGCTTCTGTCAATAGTGTCTTTTTTTAGCTCACGGAGGATTAACCGAACTCTCTTATTGAGCCAGAAGGGGGTGTATTCATTTGTCGTAATTGCACTTTTTTTTTGAAGGAACTCATAGCATTTTCCATTGGCACTGGATGTGTGCACTGAGTATATTTGTGTCCTTGTTTATCGATATAAATAAGAAGAAAGTGAAAATACACTCAAAAACGCACTGAGTATGCCAATGGAAAACGCCATAATAAAGATAAATTGGACTTGCAGCAGTTGTGAAATAAAAATATTAGTTTTCAAAATGTTCAAATTAAATATTGGAGACTGATAATATTGTAGATTTCTGGTGATGGCAGTAATTTTATAATTTTTTGATACCTATGTGAACATAATATTTAAAACGAAAATAGGATACTAATACATATTTACGATGTTTCTAAAACGTTTTTGAGAAATCCTTTCAGAAACGTTTCTTTAGAAACATAGTAGGGACGTACCATTTATGTCAGAAACATACATAGAACCTAAATGGGATGTTTCTGGCAGATCGGTGTTATTAGGGCAGAGGACCAGAAGTCACTTACTGAATTTTTAGTCTTCGAAGGTTGAAGAATTTTTATTTCACTAATATCACTTTTAAGAAGCTTCAGAATAACATTATTAAAATACACCAAAAATACTAGAAGCTAAATGTTGATATGGTTAAAGAATAAAACAAAATTATTGCAGATTCCATCTTTTATTTCTAATCATTTTTTGAAAATAGTAGAAAAACGTAGCAGAGCCTTATTTATGTACAATATTTACATTATTTTCGAAATTCTGACGCTAGGGTATTAACAAATTATAGGTACATTCTTTCAATCAATATTCTGTTCGTAAAAAACTATATAGACATTATGTGTCCATAGGACACGATAAACAGTATCACAATAAATTAAATCCCGGATGTCTTTTCATCCTATCCTAAAAATAAAATTTGAACATTCAAATTTAAGCGTTCTACACTCATAATATCACAAGAGATGCATTAGTTGCCAGTTAAATCTACTAAGGGTGAATAAAAGGACAGTTGTCTCTGTTCCGACAGTAGCCGTGGTTTTGAACGTTTTTGCACAGTCTTCCTCCCCTATTTCCACCTCTTCGCCAATTGCCCCTTCCAGCTCCACCCATACGCACCCAGTTACCGCCGTCATTTCCGCCCCTTCCTCGTCTAAAATCACCTCCGCCTCTAAAATCACCTCCGCCCCTATTGTTATTGTGTCGGTGGTTGCTGAAGTTGTTCGGAGGGAACATATTCATGTTATTAGGACCATTTGGATTGCCGTACATAAAATCTGGTTCTGGTCCGAAATTATCTGGCATTGGCCCTCCTGGGAACATATTTGGGTTCATCATTACTTCATTCGAAGGCATCACGTTAGGAGGACCCATCATATTACCGTTAGGCATCATATTTGGAGGACCAAAATTGTTGGGAACTGGTGGAATCATTGGGCCATTAGGAACAGGGAACCTAGGTGGCATGTTTGGCATATTTTGAAAGGCGGGAGGTGGCATATTATTGAAGGGCTGTGGGAATGGACCTTGCATATTAGGAAAACCCATGGGCATCTGAGGCTCTGGCAAGGGTTGGTTTCCTTTTGGTTCAGGCCACGGAGTACTTCTTAAATCGTATTCCTGGCTTTCGGGATCTTCTAAAGCAATAATTACTGGATCGCTCATTTGGTGGTTTTCAAGAAGTGGCTCTTCTGGACTATCAGGAATTTTTCTTTTATCGAAGTACAAAGCTGGAAGAACAGTTTTTTCTCTTGCAAACTGAATATCTTTTTCTAAGCTTCTGGATCCGTGTGGAGTTAAAGGTTCTAGTAAATCAATTTCAAATGGTATCCTCCAGACAATTTGAGGCTCCATTAGATCTTCACCGCCAACTTTTCTAGATAACTGTATAGCTTCCCTTTCGTTTGAAATATCCATTTTAGCCATATCATTAAAGGCTTTGGTTACGTTAACTCTCTCCGTTTCGTCGAGTTCAAAGTAGCGAATTTCAACAAGATCAGTCTCATTTTTCCAAGAAATTGTTTTCTTAGGTCCCTTCTTTCTTGAATATAACAGCACACCCTTAAGAGTACCGTCATCAAGTCTTAGTTTCTTTATTTCTTCAGGATCGTCTTCTGTTGGGGTTACAGCTCTTGGTGACCTTATTTCGTTGTTTTCTTTAGTTTCAGAAACTGTAGATAAGACGCTGTCATCAAGATTCTCAGTTTTGTCGTTTTCCTTATTTTCATCGTTTGTTGCTTCTGCTTCTTCGGATGAAAGAGTGTCTTGGTAAAAGTTAAAAGGTGCGATACTTTTTATACCAAGAGGAGATGAGTTAGGGGCTGTTGTTGTTGGGGTAGTAGGTTGATCTGGTGATGCTGAAGGCGAAGTTGGAGCGTCTTTGGATGTGCTTGCTCTTCGTTTCCTCTTTTTGGGCTCTTTCTTGGAAGTGGCCGCTGTAAGTGCATCGCTGAAGAGATCACTCTCTTGGATAATTGCTGAAACAAAAAAAATATTTATTTTCTAGTTTATGTATTTTAAATTAATTTAAAAAAAAATATGCAATCAAGTGAAAAAGGAAATGACAGAATTGGCGGACCTGAAAGTAAAATTTATTAATGTATTAAAATAATAAAAAAATATAAACAGCATTTAAGATTTTAAATCATTTAAAACAAAATGTTAAAACATAAAAGAAAAATTCAATATCGACAACAAACTTTATTTGTTTAAATATATAAATATTAGTTATCCTCAACAAACCATTGTTGATTAATTACTAAATACACACAGTAGGTCATTTTTAAATATGATTATAAATTGACAAATATTAGCCAAAATAAAAGTTGTTGGCTCGAATAATATTTCATTAACATATTATTTACCTACATCTTGTATCTAAGAATATTTATGTATGTTCAAAATATTTCAAGGATAGCTCAAATACGCGAAATTATGAAACTAATTGCTGGCCTAGAATCCTGCTTTTATTTAAGTGAAAAAAAAATTTATTCCACCAAAAAAATAGAATTAGATAATAGATTGTATGTAACTTGGTATATTAAATTGTTTACAATAAAAAAATATAGTTACGAATATTAAGATAGGAATCTTCGTTTCATTGAATATTGTGACAAAAAAAAATTGAATCTAAATCATTTTATTACCTCGAATGAAACTTATCTAAGAAACAGTTAAACCATTTAAACCAATACAAACTGTGACCATGACGATTATAATTAATGTTTTTGACATACATGTTTAAAAATCCAAAAAATACACGCGATATATCTGATAAGAATAGACGACATCGTGCGCCGTACTTTTTTTTCTATTATCTCTCGTTATTTTCCAATTTTTTTTTTTTCATCTTTGTTTAGTCCTTTTTATTTCTTCCCTTCCCGCCTGTCAGCCTTTATTCTGACATATGAAGACGGTTTATAAAAATGTTCATTAAACTGTATGCGCCTGATACAATTTGACACTAGCTTGAAATTTAGATCTGTCAGTGCTATCAAACTCAAAAATTTTAATGTAAGTTCTTTCAATCGTCTCAGCCATGTTGCTCGTTGTGTCTAGAATCCTATTGCTTTTAAAGTATTTTGCTCCATAGCCGCTTCATTCATTCTTAACCAGGATTGATCTATCTCGATGACTTTTCTTTCCTACTTTAAACAAAATCCTTTTCTCAGAATTCAATGCTTAATAAGTTGTATAAACTTTTATAAAGTAAAGATACCACGCTTTGTAGTTTTAGTTAATATTTCTACAATAGCATTAGTTTCGTGTCTACTTCTTAAAACTAATGTGTTTCTTCCCTCTTAATTAATAACATTGTTTATCTAGTTCCATATTCTTTAAAGTATCATTTTAAGCAATTTATTTGCAGTCAGGCGCGGATACAAGGGGGGTAATAGGGTAATTACCCCCTCCCCCGAGCTGCTCGAACAAATCCAGGAATTTACTAAATTGTAATCTAAAAACAACGAGATTTTACGAGAAAGCAAAAAAGACAAGATGACTGTGACGAATGAAGAATAGAGAAGCACAGACTGGCGCACAGTATTTTTTGTTATTTTTTAAATAAACGAATGATTCTTTGATAAAATTATCTACCCCCCGAAAAATCTTCCCAGATCCGCGCCTGTTTGCAGTTAATATGCGTAATGGTTGCCGTGGTGTTTAACCCGACTTTTAATAATCTAATTAAAATGTGTTAAAAAGTGACTGATGGCCCGTTGTTGGCCCGTTATGAGGTAGATAAAAAATTCAATAATTATGCAGTAACTGCTGTATTTCTGCTGTGTTTAAGAACAAGAAGGCTAATATCCCTTTTTCACAATTTCCGATTGACGACAATGGTAAAATGCAATTCTTGGGCTAACATTATTCCTTCAAAAGACTTTCCTGAAAGTGAAATTATACGGGATGATAATTATTTGCACCCCGATGGAAATTTAATAAAAAATTAATAAAAACTAAACCTAACATCTTGAAAATTTATAATTCCTTCCGAGCCTTTATTTTTAGTCCGATTTTTGTGACATTTTCAGGAAATATCAACAAAAACAAAACTGGTGGAGAAACCTTGAATTTTTTATAAACCTTCTAAAAGTATTTATTTTTGATAATTCTGTATTAAATCTATAAAAATTTTACTGCTTTTTGTTTTAATAAATATCTAGTAGCTTTTAAATGGGAGGATTTCCCACCTTTTTACTTTCCTATCTGTATACAGATAAGGAAAGTATAGGAATCATGATTTTGTGTGTGTCTGTATCTTCGATAACTTATGAAAGGATACAAAGAAAAACACCAAATTTTAAACTTAAGCCTCCAGTGAACAGTCTAGATTTTGGGCAGAGTCGGAACATCTAGGGGGGGTACTTTATAGATGGTCATTTTTATATTTTATGGAATATATGTTATTTACGTTTGGAGAAGAAAATTTTTCAAATAAAAGTTACAATATTATTATCTATAATTTTTGTTCTATACAAAATTTTTCTAAAATGGTCCATATTCGAGAAATTTGAGAAAATGTAAAAAATAAATTTTTTATAAAGATTGTTCAAATAAAATTTGTTTGTAATATAATTCTTTATAATTTTTATGCTATATGTAATTTCTCTAAAATGGACCGTATTCAAGGTATTTGAGAAAATGTGTAAATTGCGAATTTTGAAGAAAACTCAAAAAAGGACAAAGGAAAAAACATTAAATTTTAAACTTAAGTTTTATTTCGGCCTGAGGTGAAATGATTAGATTTTTGAACATCTGGGGAGTACTTTATAGGAAGTCGTTTTTATGTTTTATGGAATATATGTTATGTTTGAAGAAGAAAATTGTTCAACTAAATTTTCCTGAAATGGTCCGTATTCGAGAAATTTGACAAAATGTGTAAAATTCTGATTTTTAAGAAAATTGTTAAACTAAAAGTTGTTTGCGATATCGATCTCTATAATTTTTGTTTTCTACGTTTTTTTTCTAAAATGAACCGTAATGGAAAAATTGGAGGAAAAGTGAATATCTATAGAAAAATGTTTCGAGTTAGATGTATGTGGAAAATATATATATTTAGTTTATCCTCTAAACATTTATAGAGGTGCTCCAATAAGTTGTAAAAATAACCGGAAAAGGCCTATAATAACTAGATAGGAAAGTCATTTGTTGGACACATCAGATTTTTTCTTAAACATCTCTGTAGAGTGCTGAATTATCGTTACACACATTTAAAGCTCTCAATATGCTCGACACATATTATCGCGAAGTATCCCCTATAAATACAATTTTATATGAGAACATTCTTAAAACATGGTTTTCTTTCGCGAGAGGTCCGATTTGCTCTTAAATAGGGTTTAAAAACCCATAGACCCAGGGGCGCATATATGGGGGTAAGGACCCCCCAACAATTTTTAAACCCAACTTTTTATAGGTATCCCCCTGTATATTACCACCAAGAACGACGATGGGGGAGCTGTGAATGTTTTGAAGTGACAAAAACCTTTTTTTTTTAGAAATTTCAGAAAGGACCTAATTTTTAAAAATGTCCCATGGCTCTCGGTGACCCTGATTACCACTTCCCCTGGGTTTAAACTCTGGACGCGCCACTGCCCAGCACTCACTAATAAAAAGGTTAACACCTTAATTACCATTTCACTAATAGGGATTTTTTGACTAATTAAATTAAGTTAGCGATATAAGCCACCCTTTATACATTTTCGGCCAATGTTGAAATTTGGTGAGAATCTTTTTGACTGAATGTATACGCCCACTGTAAATTAAAACGTTCAATTTATCTTATTTGTAGCTTTTCTGTTTTTTCGAGAATAAGGTATGTTCCTCTTAAGATGAACCAAATAAAATATTTGGATATTATCCTAGAAATATATTTTTTAAAATATTTGTGAAACCTTAGAAATGAGACATTTTGAATGATAGAAGCGAATTGGTACTAACTGTTCCAATGTTGATTTTTGATCAATGAACTTTTGTAGAAATGTATTAAAAATATTCCAATTGAAAAGAATTATAATTCATCTACTCTCTATTAATTTAATTTACAATTAATTGTAATTGTTAATAGGTGCCTAAAGTACTTTCATAGATAACTGTAAACATAATTAGAAATTGCTAAACATTTCGTCAACCCTGGTATAATAAAATACCTGTAATCATAATTAATAATAATTTGGTAAACACTCCGTCAATCCTGATATTATAAGTACAGCAGGCTGCATGTTTTATTATTAAAATATAGTGTTTCAACCAAATCATAATAAATATGTCGATTTCAACACATCAAGTGAATGTTCGTTAATAACATATATTTGCCGGTGACAAAATCAAATGTAAAATTTATAATATTGTGCATATTAAATTTTGAAGCCACGAAAGATATTTATGCAATAAAAAATACGATGCGGTTATTGTCCTAATAAATTCCACCAAATAGCGGTTTTTACTTTTTTAATCTAACTTCTGTTATTGGATATTCCACGTAAATATCATAGTTATTTTCGTACATTTTTTTTTAAATATGTTAGTTATAATCTGAATTTTCACTAGTTATGTAGAAATCACTGTCACTTTTAAATATATAAAAAAAAACATTAAATAGGTAAAAAATCACTTTATTTACTTAATGAAATTTATAAATCAATTTACTTAAGTACATATTATTTCTATTTATTTCTTAAAATATTGATAAAAATATATAATATACCTAACATTTAAAAAAAAAATAAAAATGTAGTTGTTCTTAATTTATCACCACTAAAAATTAAAAAAATGATTAATAAAAAAGTACTTATTGCTCTCAATTTATCACACCTAAGGACTGATATCTAAAATAAGAAACAGCCACCAAATAAAAAAGCTGCGATCTGAAAAACTAAATTTAGATATGTATCTAAGTTATTTTTATTTTTTAATAAGCCTAAAATTATATACAAGAAGCTTGTTTTGGTTCTTTCGCAAAAAAATTAATTCGTAAACT